AAAATTTTCATAAAGCTACCTGGATTAATACCAATTCTTAAACAAAACTATAGCATTGTAAATCATTTTACACATAAAGGCAGAAGAGCTAATTTTTCAAATTGACTATCAGTAATAAAAAGTGCAATGTAATATACTGTATATTCCGGTTATAAGTCGACATTCAAGACACCTAAATTTTGTTAAAATCAGGGTTTCGATTTATACATTGATAATAAAGTCGGAAAGGCGTCGATCGTGAAATAGTGATGGATTACAAATAATGCGATAAATACGAACAACCCTGTAATGATTTCAAAAATTATTTTTCATTTGTTATATACAATTAATTTTGCATTTTCTCTCATCTTATTTTCTTTACATGTAAAAATTTTACTTTTAGAAACAAAACCTTAAATTACGTTCTGGAAGGAAAAAATGAAGAAAAAGAAAAGTTCTGGCAATATACCAAGAGTATTTTAAAAAAAACATAGCACAATGAAAAGTCATAAAGCTACACATTTAAAGATTCCAGAACATCATCTGTGTCAGATTCAATAATGTTAGGAGTGTCATCGTACGAACTCCACTCAATAATGGATTCTACTTCATCCTCATCTGCCCACAAAAAATCGTCTTCACCTCCATACCAAGAATTTGATACTTCTTCAAAATTTTACAATAACATTTGAATCCACATTTCATCACACACCTATGCCGTGTTTCAAGTTAAGAAAAAACCATTATGCCTAAGGAGAAAGCCTGCTTGCATCAAAGTGCATGCTAAGCTCCCAGCACTAACATATATCAACATCGCCAACTCTGGAAAAGACATTGCACTTCTTTTTGCCCCTGCTTCCTTAAATCAAGTGAAATGAGGAATACAAAACTTATTTATTAATCAATTAACAAGTAATGTGAATTAATAAAAATTATATCTCAAAATCATAACCTAACCAACATATGCCTTTCTGTTCACATTTAAAGAAACTGATGAAAGAAAAATAAATATTGTTTCTTGCAGACTTCAACCAGCAAAAGAAAAATTATTTATCCGGCAAATGATTTTTTAAGGACATGATAACTTAAGACAAGCCATTTTTAGAGGGTCCAATCAAATCCAATGCTCAGGGTTGCCACAGAAAAAAAGGAACAAAATAGTTGCTTTTAGCAGGTTAAAGCGTGAAAATAGTTGCTAAAAACTATATAAATAATTTCCTAAATAGGAATAAAAATTTATAAAAAATATGACTAAAATTTTATTATATGACTTGTCATATACCATGATCCATTTAGTCAAGTTGGTGACAAAAATGATAATTTTTATATAAATGATAAACGTTAGTGTTCTAGCACTAAATTGTTAAATCAAAAAAATTAGCATATTTGGAGAAAATTAAATACTTTTAATTACAAGAATTCAATAAAAAAATATATACTTTTTCATTGAAAAAAAAAATTCTAAAAATTTTTCCCTTTTATCAATAATTGAATTGGCAAATATATGTAGTTACATCTATCTATACATATAGTGAAAAGTGATTACTCAAATTTGAAATTCACGCATCATAATATTGTATTAAAAATAGGTTTTTTAAACAAAATTGCGGAATTTTTTAGAAAAATAACCATTGAAAGGGCAATCGAGAAAAGAAATAGAATTACAATGGAATCTGCGCAAATTGAACCAATTAAAAAGTAATAACTCAAATTTGCAATTAAACATTTTTTAAGAAAAAAAATTTCCGTGTGTTCAGAAGCTCCCTAGGACCGCAGGTTTTCAACCCAATTAGGCTAAAAAAAAACATCTCCAAGAGTACAAAAAAGTCTCCTTTTCTTGAAAATAGATGCTTTTTAGACTTTTCAGTCAATAATAGTTGCCCTAGTTGCCTCATGTTGAAAATAGTTGCAAATAGTTGTATTTCAGTCGCCTGTGGCAACTCTGAATGCTCTTGCCACGTCGAATAGTTGTTTCTTTTTCAAAAACGAATGTTCTCCTTATTTATCGAAATGCGTCGCATAGTCTAGGATTCCAGTAAGACTACAAAACTATAACCCTTTTTTAATAATTCTATGATACATATCATAAAAGATAGCACAAATTAAATTTCTGTCCGTCAAGTTTAATTACATTTAAATAATATTAATATTTCATATTTAAATAATAGGACAACAAAATAAAACGGAGCTATATGCAGTCGCAGACGATTACTTAAATCCTATACCACAATGGGTTTTCCTTAACTTGCAGCAGAGTATAGTATCTTTTGACACATGGTGTCAATGGGAACTGCGGGGATATTTCATGCTTTCTAAGATTTTTCCCCTTGATTCACAAGGTCATCTCACAACATTTGTTTATTCGAGAAGACACTTCCGATTTTTTTACGCCTTTATTTGCGGGCAAATGTATTATATCCAGAGAGAACAATTTTTATAAAGATAAAATTTTGTAAACTTAAAATTTTTTTGGTGTTTTTTAATTTCAGATTTGGTTTTCTCGGTGGTCGACTCATACACCCGACACATCAAAAAATTTGCTATCTTGTAAAAAAGAGGCTGACTTATACGATGGCTCGACTTATACAGAGGGATACACTGCATACAACATTAATAAAATTCCCATTCGAACAACTTTAAGGTGTTTTAACTATTTAATTCTATATATTTAATATTAATAATATTATGTATGAATTTGCTATTAAATAAAACTCCTAAGTGTTACTTTTTTTTAATGTTTGCTGTGACCAACTAAATTGCTTAACTTTTTGTAGTTAAAAAGAAAAAATACTTATTCTTAACAAATTATTATGAAAATTCTAAAAAACTGTAATTTTTAGTACTCAACCATAATCTTGACAACAAAATTATAATAGTTATGGATAAATTGTAATAATTGGCAATTCTGCATACATTAAAAATTTCATTTTGAATGATACAGCACCAATAATCAACGAGATATGTGGGCAACAAGAAATAATCTTTTTAATTATCAGAATACTTAAATGTTTGCTCAGTTCATTTAATTTATATTATTAGCAGTTGNCCGTGGGAACCCTGTTATCAGAATACTTAAATGTTTGCTCAATTCATTTAATTTATATTATTAGCAGTTGAACTTTATGCAAACATAATTACATTACCAATACATTAATATACGATACTTATTACAAATTTTAAAAAAACTTCATAAGATTTAATTGTCTGTGCTTAATTAATTGAAGTTAATTATAACACAATCACTAAAAATTAGATCAGTGATGATCAATGTATACAGAGTATATATATTTTTTTGTATATTATTTTTAACGTATATAGTGTACATAAAATACATTGTATATAAAATAATATACAATATATTTTTTTAATGTAAATGCGGAGATATTTTCAATTCAACTAATAATCTTTAAATTTCAAACAAAAAATTTTGATACGTAATAAAATACATAATTTTTAAAATGCATATTTACAACACTAATGAAATCATTATTTTTACATAAATATACAAAGCAAACAAAAGTGTTTTCAGGACATTTCAAATTTATAACTAACACAATATCATTTAATATTGTACTTAAGTATTTTAAACACAGTATTTGTACTCACAAAAAATATTCCTGAGAACTTTGTACATTTAATTTAGATGCATTTTTTTTCATTATTTAATTGAAACTTAAGAATTATCATTGTATTATTAGTTCAAAATATTTACAATTAATAAGAAATAATATTAAAACCAGCAGCCTTTATGACATTATATATTAAATATTTTTAAACCGTTTATTAAAAGTTATATTTTATAAAATAAATTTTAATTTGAAAAGTGTTTTAAATTAATAAATTTTACCCAACAAAGGCCCTTAAAGATTCTCTTCAGTCAGAAAAGTGGTTAGAGTTCTTTTACGTTAATTTACAGATAATTATACAAAAGCAGTTTCCTCATTTATTAATTCAGAGGTTTAAGCACTGTTCCAGATAAAAATTTAAAATTTTACTTAAAAAAAAATCTATATTATTAAATCTACTCTGATAAATTTGACCCCAAAAATTTACTGATACCCCAATTATTAATTTTTTATTATTATTATTGATACTAGATTTTTTCTAAAGCATGTATTTACTGAATCCAACTAATAAGCAAAATTTAGACTAATTTTTCTCATAATCCATATTGTGAGCTACAATGCAAAATATGTTCAGTTTTATTGCATCTAGAACCAAAAAATTTGGTATGTACTTAAATCATGATAGGTTTATTTGATTAAAGAAAAGTTTAGAAATTTAGTTATATTTTGAATATTAATTGTGATTTTTTTTAAAAAACTGAAGATTAAGTATTTTATATATATATATATGTATCCATAATACATCTATAAGTTTAGTTTAATTATATAAATATACATTTACTTTGTTGTTGGAAGTAGTTTATAAATGTTTTTAAACATTTTTATGCCATTTGAAATAAAAGTAGACATTTCAAAAATTTTGAAGTTCTACAAAATATTTAATTTTAAGAGATTTTATAAATTATAAATATAACTGAGCATATTATAGGCATAAAATATAACAATAAAAAATCTGAGTTCTATTATTTTTTAAACTGTCAGAGAATGATCAAATAATTTGGTTTTACATAAACCTCAACCCACTGAGACCCCTTAACTAATCAATGTTTCAAAATATTTCTTATTTTATTTGTTGAAATAGTTACCCAACATTAGACTTTAAGGTTGTAAGTATTTTTTCAAAACTTGAACTTTAAAAAACTATTAACTTTGAAAAATCCTTAAAAATTTGGTAAACTAAATTCAATAGAAAAAAAATTCAATAAATAAAAAATAATTCAAAATACCAATAAGTAACTTAATAAATGTGGAAATTGCTCTCATATAGGTTTAAGATTTACAAAAAGGAGGCAAAATCCCTTTTTCGTCATAAAAACCTTTACAAGTAAGTTAAAAATTGGCTAGATTCCTTTTTTTAAATACAATTATAGATGATAGCTTAAGAAAATATACAAATGCTTTAAAACAGTCTTTATGGGTAACAAAAACATGATAAACAAAACTGTTGAATTGGAAAACACACGAACAAATTCATAGAAAATGCAGGAAACAAAGACCAAACTTCTTAAGAGTGTAGTTTTACATGAATGAGTCAGAAAAATTAACATTAATCTGGAAAAACAATAAACAATTGAAATTTATACAATTTTGATTAACTTAGGTCATTAATCCAATTTTAAAACTATTATAAATAACAATTTATACACAACAAGGTTAAGGTTTTAGATGGGATAGAAAGGATTTACTAAACAAAACTTTATAAAAACTCTAAAAATGTTCAAAATTGTCAAAGTCTTTGATGATTGAATGATTAAAACTATCTAACAGTGTTCTAGAAATGTCTAAAAACTGTTTCTAAAAATTATTGGATGATTAAAACTGTCTAACATTGTTCTAGAAATATCTAGAAACTGTTTCTAAAAATGATTAAATTGTCTAACACTGTTTAAAATTGCACAAAAGTGCATGTATCACAAATCTATAATGTATAAAAATAGTTAAAACACTTAACTTCAAATGCAATTACAGCTCATTTAAAAAGCATTGCATTTTAAAATTAATTTTTACTTATTTTTAATGTAAAATATTGGTTTATTTATTATTTTGTTAATGTATTTGTAATTTAAAATATTTACTAATGTATTTTTCAGATTTTAATATATTGAATCACATGGGATATAACTAGCATAAACTCAAATTATAACTAAAAAAAACTTTTGAACTCCAAGTTCATAATAGTTTTGAACAATTAAAACAAAATTCTTTTTTTTTTTAGAATATATTTTAAAAACGATATTTCGAACTAAAATTTACATTTGGCCATTTTCAGTGTTCAGGATCATTCCCATAAAATCACAATGCAATACCTATATTTACAATTATTTGTAAAACCAAATTTATATCTAAAAAAATTAAATTGGTCTGTATAATACATTGAATATGTAAAATGTATTGAATATATAGTTTGAATTGAATTATAATTTAACACCACCAATAATTGGATCACAGTTCAGAGATTTTGAAACTGTAATCCAATTATTGATTTCAGTAATAAAAGTTTCAGATAAATATTTATAATTTACTGATAACAAGTTTAAATAAGTTAGCTTGAATTTAATATAGTAGGGAACCGATTATCCGGAACAATCGGGACCATCGCTATTCCGGATAACTGATTTTTCCGGTTTTATGAATCGCTACAAAAAGCCGTTTTTTTTATTGTTAAACCCAACTAAAAAAAAATAATTGGAAATAATCTTAAAAAGAAGAAACGATGAAGCAATACACTAATGATTATTTTCAAAATGATGGTAAGGTAAACATCTTTCAAAAAAAAAAGAAAAATCCTGAAATCTTATGAGGAAAAAAAAAATTTTTTTTAAAAATGGCTGGAAAATTTATGGAATTTCTTTCCGGTTTTTTGGTTTTCCAGTTTTCTGATTTCCGGAAAACGGGTTTTGCACTGTATAAGCTTTTTTTTTATCTTTATAAAATTATTCAAGTGCTCTATAAATTTAGAAATAACATACTCGGTGCAATAGATAAGATACTCTATTTGTCTTTGTAAAATTTATGGATAATCCAATAGACTAAATCTGAAAAATTTTATATATTGAATATATCAAATTTTTGCAATTTTAAGTACTGTTTAATCAATGACAGAAAACAGGTGAAAAAATTGACACATTTGGCAGAAATTGGGCACATTTGAATTAACTATGAAATTTATTCTAACAGTTTTATGCACAAAGAGGTAGGAAACTTACTTGATGCTTGTTTCGTAGCTGGTTTGAGAATATCAATTTTTATGTAGTGTTGAGGCGCAACGCTCTGAGAAGAAAAACAGTTAAAAGCAATTCACAAAATGCAAAAAAAAGAGCACAAAAAATAAACAGAATAACAATAATTTTGTAACAAGCTAAAAAAAATATTTAAAAAATAAAAGAAAAAAAAGATACATTAAAATTAGTAGGTCTGTGTAAATTGAGTATAAAATAAAACCAAATACTGTCTGTTTATTACGAGATGAGTCCCATAAAGTAGACTTGCTTATGGCAGTTGCTAATGGAAACAAGATATTCCACAGCATTGGAAGGTGTTGTTTTTTTTTAATATTTACAGAGATGCCAACTTGCTCCGGACAGCAAATATATTTTTTAAAGTGGTAGTTTATCAATTGTTATTCTTGGATTAATGAATTCAATTTAGTAGATTTTTATCCACCAGTATTTCTAAATAATTCGTAGGGTTACATAATTCACCACTTTATAGTACTTATGTCATGCGGCACTCGTGCCATACCTTTTAAAAAGCAAGCAAAAATAGCCAAATGTTTGCAAAATATACTTTGAAGTTATATAGTGTTTTTTAAATTATTTTGGAGTGTCCAGAGCAGTTGGCATCTCTGTATTCATTTACATCCTTGCTATAAGGACACTCAACTGCCTTATGTCACACCTAAATTATAGTGAAATATTGCATTTTGACAGCAATCCCTAGACAACATGTTTAATATTAAGATTCCATTTCGTTATAGACATTTTACCTCCAATTCTACACACTACAAAAAGTTTAATATTACCAGCAAATATGTAAAAAAAAAGAGAGAAAGAAATATTTCTAAAAACAAAAAAAAAGTAATTTTTTTCCAAGAGGATGTTTTTAATGTTTTGTTGTCAATGCTTTAACTAAAAAGAATAATAGTTAATTATAAAAATGATTTATGATTCTAAAAGGAATAAAGAAGAAAAAAATTTAAACTTAAGTTTTAAATCTCCTTGTAATGGATGCAGAATGCAAGGAATTTAAGTCACGTCAACAACAACAAAAAATTTAAGAAAATGCGACAATTACAGTACATCCTGGTGTATAAGAAAACTTTTTAAACCCCCAAACTTTCACGAAAATTAGGATTATTAATGGAAAATGTTTCAGACTTAATAATTTTTTATGTTTTTTAATCTTAGAAATCTTCATAATTGATTTTTTTTCAGCAGTCAATGTTTACACCAGATATGCCGGAAATTTGCTCTCTCATAATCAAAAATAGAGGATTGACTTATACAACCGGTCAACTTATAAAGCAGAATATGTGTTTTAAATATGCTGCCTTAGTTTGGTTGTTTTCAATCATTTTTGAAATTTATTGAATATTTTTTTAACCTTTTATGTCTTTAAGTTCCATTTTCTTGTTAAAATAAAATCAGTAAACCATTTGCAGTATAACTTACTGCAGAACTACTGTTTATTTAACGATATCCAATGGAACCATTTGATTTGCTCAAAAAATACATGAATACATAGAATAAAATTTATTGGAAAATTCCAGAATTAATATATCTGAGATTAAGATTAAATCCCACATAAACAATCTGAATTGAGCTAGATTTCTATTTCTTAGTAATAAAATTAAACATTAAGTATTGTAGGTAGTATTATATGTATTTAAACTCCAATAGGAAATGACAACTCACAGAAAGGGCAGTTTTTGATTATGCTTTAAAAAAAAAACATTTGAGCCAGGGGTTTTTGGGCTTGTGAATAGGTCAAAAACCCTGATTCATACCAATAGATGAGACTCAGAAAAAAAGGCTAAGTGCTAGGCCTAGGATTGAGTGCTGTATCACAATTATACTATTTTATAAGCACCATTCCAAAAATAAAAATAAAAAGCCGAATACCACATAATTTTGACACTAGAAAAAGATAAGGATTCGGTATTAAGAAGTACCAGATTTAAATAAATGCATAGAAATCAAGTCACATTAATGAAAAGTATTCAATCACAAGAGTTTATATACCAAGAGGATTAAAAGCACTTTATTTAATTAGTACAGTGAAACCTCACAGGAGCGACCACTCTCTGTTGCACATTAAAATGGTCATTAATGGAGGGTGGTCGTTTTTAGGGGTTGCTTCCATTGACTTCAGAATGTCATCGAAGGTACATGATTTTTTGCAAGCGACTTTAATTTTACTCATTGTCATTTTCATGGTACAGAAATGCCACTTGTGTTGGCGTCATGAAAACCAGATCGATAAATAAAATTAAAAAGACCCTTTGCTGATGTAATTGTGAGTAAAAACAAATGTATCAATTTTGAATGATAGAACACTTTTTAAATAAATAAACAATTATGTTTTTTGCTTTAGATTACATTTAATTTTATATAATTAAAATTTATTTACTTTAAAAATGTGAGATTTGTTTTTTTGAGTTGCTTAGTTTTTTCTAAAATAACCTTTTTTTTCTTCCTAATTTAACTTTTAACTCTAAAACTAAATGATTGATAGCATCCTCTTTAGAACACTCTGATAGCAACATGAAGTTGTCAATCTCTTTCAGGGATCGTCAAAAAAAAGCTCTTTAAATAAAAGCTACTTACAACTTTTTTCATGCTTAAATATTAATTATGTTCAAGTAGTATGTTTACGCTTTTAGGATCGTTTTTCACAAGAATTCTAAAAATATATATTAAGAGTAGTCATTATGAAACATCCTGCGATTGTTTAAACGAAAAAAAATTCTAAATTTACAAAGAACTAACTATATCTTATTGGAGAACTTTATTTCATGCAGAACAAAAATCAAAACAAGTTGTGTAATAAAAATGAAAAGTTTAAAGTTAAATTTAAATTGAGGTTTCCCTACCTGCTTTTATAAAATGATTTCCTCTGCAGCAAAAGAAGAAAATAAACAGTATAGTGACATAAAAATTTTTTCGTTATTCGCATGCACATACATCTTAATGTATATAAATATATTTTATCATATTTTTTAAACATTAAGAGAAAAACATACTTTTAAAGCAAAACAAGAATATACTTTAAGTACCAAGAATAAAATTAATTAGCATGTTTTTTCATAAGCCAAATAATTCTCATTTGTAAAGAACATAGAAGAATTTTTTTAAATGGTCAATTCTTAACACTAATAATTGCAGAAATTTTTAACAATCCTCTTCTGACACCTTAATAACTAATAATCTCTTTTTATATTATTTTCATTTTTTTTTCTTCACACTTATACATTATTTTCACTCACTGTTCTTCGACGCATTTTTTTCATCAAATTTTACAGTCCCTGAATCGTAGTTCAAAAGTGTTTTACAGAGAAGCAAATGGGCTCCATGAGGCACTCAATTCATGGGCTCCATGAGGTAGCACAGAGAGCAAAAAAGATGCGTTAAGATGCCAATTGGGAGAAAATACTCGCCCAGGCAATCAATATAAGAACCACAGTTATTGAAACATCAAAATGTCTGAATTATGCTTGGGTGTATGTTCGATTTTTGTCATTCTTGTTTTTTTATATTCCTCTATTTTTACTTGAATCTTCTGGTATAATTCTGCTTAAATTGTTTATTCAGATTTAAAATTAAAAAAAAATATATTAAAAACTAGACATTAACCCATAAAATTTTTAAATTGAACCAACATTTTTTTTCTGATTTAATTTAAAAGATGAAAATTTGGCACTTATTGGACACAAAACTTTGGCAATCACAAAATGGAGCATATAACTTAATTTAACTCTGTATATGGTGTTAATAATATTTCTCAATGTTAATAATAATAATTTCTAAAACCCAACAGATGGCGCTCTGCACAGCAATGTAAAAGGATTAATTTTATTCAGCTTCCTTATTTGGCATTGTAGTATTAACATCAGACCTTTTTCGTTATTTAATACATTTTCTGTTGAGAGTGTTTTGTTATGATTTGAACTCTGAGATCATCGTATTTAACATATTGTATACTCTGTATAATAAAGCAAAAATAAAAGCGAATAAAGCACAAATAGAAGAATAGAAATGGGCATACTCAAGATTTGGCTTTGTAAGCAAGATTCTACTTTAGTGTCTACACACATTTTGTATTCTGACAAAGAAAGGAAGTTCTCCATAGAACTAAAAACTATAGTATGTCATTTATGTATCTATATGTATGTATGTATCTATATGTATCTATCATGTATGTATCTATAGTATAGTATATACGTTAGTTGTGCTTTATTCACCCTATCTTGCTTTATTACATGACTTTAAGTTTGAGAGCAAAATTTTCTCATTTAGAAATTATCTCAGACCTATTTAGTATCTAAACTATACACCAATTTCAAGCACAATTATTATTTCAATAATGTTTTACTTTACTAATGAAGTATTACTAATGAAGTTTATTTTAGTGATAAATCTGCAAATAAGTTCAAAAATAAGTAAAAAGCATTACTTACAGTGTAAGAATTACCATTGGGCGTATGATAAGACTGGCGATTATGGTTTTCCTTTTGTGTCACAGAGTTTAAACCTTTAAAAATAATTTTATTACTTTAATTAAATAAGTAAAAAAAATAGAGATATTGCAATAATCAAACACTTCAAAAAAAAAAATATTTGAGAAAATCTGTTAGGAATTTTATATGGTGACTTGAGTAAGCTTTTTGACACTTCATTAGAATATGCAATCAAAAATTTTCTATCACCTTTCAATTTTCTAAACTAAATAAAGTAGCAATTAGTTTAAAATTTATTTTGAATTTTTGATAAATTATAAGAAAACTACACACTTTTAAAAGTGCAAATATACCCTTAAAAATTTCTTAAGCACTGAAATTTTTCTATATGAAATTTTTGTGAATTTGTGAATTTTTGTCTAATATTTAAAATTCAGATAAACAAATAAAAGAAAATAAGCAAAAAACCTTGATTGACCATTCTCATGGTACCATTCATTGTGAATGACAAATATGGGAATACTTGTGGGTCTACTCAATTATGTTCAAAATACTTCACACTTGCCAGTTTTCAGAGAGGAACGGATTGCTGTATATGAAGTATTAAAGGATCTCCTTAAAATTAACTACTTCAAAACAATTTTTTATACTAATACCCAAGCAGCACCAGTTATGATACACACCTTAAAAGTATAGCCTGCCATATATTCAATTTTCATAAGGAATCAGATCTAGTTTTTCATTGGATTCCTTTTTAAAGCTAATCTAAACCAGGAGATTAAGTCCCACCACTATAAATTATCAAGTATTAACTTTAACAGGGGTGATTGTGAGTCCAAGACAAAATTCCGGAAAATTTCTTAAGTTTAAAAAAAAAAAAAAAAAAAAAAAAAAAAAAAAAAAATAAAAAAANACACATAGCTAGGATGACCTGGAGAAGTAATTAAAATTTACAAACACGTCTTTCTTTCTTGAGTTTATGATTATAACAACTATTTACTGATAAAAAATGAATATTAATCATGAATATAAGCTTATAAAGTATCTCACTGGCTCTCCCTTACAAACAAATAAAATAAACTGTGTTTTTAAGTTCCACCTATGAAAATTTGATTTCCGGAAATTTCTGTGATCAATGATTTTTTTAAACATCTGAAAATCTGGATTTTTTCTGGAGCACAATCAGCCCTGCATTAACTTGAAAACATATGAAATATAATAAAGTGGTGGACTTAAAAATTAATAAAGTTTTAATATGCATTAAAATGTTTAATTTAAACGATTATGTACTCACGGCAAAAGAAAAATCAGTAAACACATTTGTTTTGTTTTCATGTAAATACAGAAAATTCCCCATTATATCAAAGGCTTTAAGGTCGTAAACAAATGTTGGCATTGGTCTCAATTCCATTTTGGCATCTTCATCAGAATCTCTCTGCTTTTCTACATTTTCTGCAATCTTTCCTTGAAACTATAACGCTACAAATTTCAACATTTTCATGAGATGAAAATGTTAAAATGAAATGTTTAATTGGTTTTCCTAAATATTGACAAATCCTTATTTTCTTCATTACAAGCAACAGGAGTTACTCTTTTTCTTCTTAAAACAAAATAAAATCGATTTTTTTTTCCTTTTTTTTTAAAATATTGATAGACATTCTGAATAGAAGCAGGAATCTGCTAAGTTCAAAAACAATTTAAATGGGTATTACTAATATTATAAGAATGGCGTTTGTGATAGAACCATTTAAAACAAGATGATACAAATGGAAAGACAAAAGATGTGAGAATGATACATCAAGGTTCAACTGTACTTAAAAAACTTGCAAAACTACTTTCAAAAAAATTCACTTTGATATAAAAAGTATTTTCCTTAAATGCATTCAATTTCATAATTATAATAAAACATGCATATTTAACTGAGAACAACAAATATATATTTACCATTTAATTTAGAAACTTTGTAATTACCAGCTTCATTAACCCTTAAACGCCTGAAACAAAGAAGTCAAATTTAATGGGGAAAAAAAGGCACAACAAAAGTGGAAGGTAAAATAAGCAATAGCATGATAATTTCACAATAGGTAATAAATCGATACAGTTTACAAACAGAGTATTTCTGGTCATAGCACCAGATAATATAGAATATTAGCCGATGCTCAGAAACATTAATATCTTCTTTGGAAAAGGTAACATTTTTAGCTCATTTTCTAAAAGAAGGTTCAATGTTAAATTGGTTAAGGAGAAGCTGTATTTTTCAGATATACATCAAAATTTCACACAAGCTAACATATTTTGGTTATCAATCCACTGTACAGAACATATTTACCACTAAAATTGAAAATAAATTTTTAAAAATATATGAGTAAGTACTAAAAAATGTCAAAATTTTTACTTGCGCTGCTAGGATGTTTGTCAGTGAAAGTCATAATTAAACTAATACAAACAAATTAAAACTTAAAAAAGCACGAACATCTTCATAAAAAAAAGAGAAAAAAATTCAGAAAAAAAATAAATTTTCATTTAATTTCAATTTAATAAAAAAACGATAAACTAAGATTAATTTTGCATGTTCTGATTCAAGTTATTAAAAGAAACTTATTACTGCATGTTTGCAGAGATAAAACAAAACACCAAATTGATATACTAATATTAAATATGCACGTATGTAAATATATATACATACTACCCTACAATAATGGAAGAGACACTTTCTCATGAAGTACTAGAATTATTTTGTAACTTTACAGTTCTTTAGTTCATGCGATTTTTCATACTTTGAAATAAGGTTTGAAGCTTTCAGTGGTTTGAGGGGCCGACAATAAATTAAGAAAGGAAACTGGTATTTTTAAACATCCTATGCCAGAAAATCTAGCAATAAGCTGGTAACTTGGCCCTTCAAACCACTGAAAGCTTTAAAAACATTATTTCTTTTACAGGCAGACTTGTCCTGTTTTGTTTCTATTATATATTTTGAATAATAAACTCTTTGCAGCCTTCAAGTCAGGGACAGGATAATGAGTGGCAGTTGCTACTCCACATGTGTGCCGCTAGTGGCCCCTTTCTCTTAAATACTATAATTAACTATTATTAAGATTAATGATACATGAAATAATCGATCTAATTTTAAAATTCCATACCAAGCAAGCATACAATGCTTCAAACTTTGTTTTAGGTAGATCTTTTAATGTAAAAATAAAAATATACCCTTACTTTCTGCTGATATCTTCACTGGGTGCAGTTTGCAGAATGTGAAGTCTCTGCCCTTTTGTATCAATAGTAGAGTTCCATTTAGTAAGATCATATGTGTGAATAACATCTTGCTGAATATAACTTCTACCATTAGTGTCTTCTGAATCACAGTCCGACTCTTCCTCGTTGTCCGATTCACTTTCATTCGATTCATTCTCGTCCGAACAAGATAACTCTTCGTCGTCACCCTCATCTTCTTCAGAAGCTGATGACTGCTCATTATGGTCTTTTTCATCGCTTTCATTTTCTGAATAACTTTCGTCTGAGTCGTTCCTTTGATCATATTTAGAATCGTTTGAGTCCTGATAGTCATCGACAAAATTTTTCAGCATACCTCTTTGTGCAACTCTTTTTGCTCTTTCTGAATATAAAGAAAATAAACCATTTAAACAAAAGCTCATTACTTTATCAGAAATAAAATATTATACACTGCGCAAAATAAAAAAAGTGAACAGCCTGTAAAGTTTTCTTTATCTGATGATCGGTATTATACTCTGTTGTAGGTTGAGAAAAAACTATTGTCCCTATGTAGAGAGCCTGTTTGCATCTAAGTGTACGCCAAATGGATACCAAGTGAAAATATATATCAACATCGCCAACTCTTCAAACGACATTGCACAGCGTTCCTTTTGCTTAGTTTCTTAAATCGTGTAAAATGAGGAACACAAAACTTATTGAATAATCAATTAACAGGTAATGTGAATTAATAAAAATAATACTTAAAAATCTTAAATAACATATGCCTTTCTATTCACCTTTAAAGAAACTCAACTGATAAAAAGAATAATAAATATTGTTTCTTGCAAACTATTTTCTTCCACAGCGAAAGAAAAGTAAAAATTCTTTATCTCGCATTTGATTTGTTAAATAGGCATGTCAGCTTAAGATGGATCAATTTTAAAGTTCCAAATCTAATACTCTTACACCGTCATACAGTTATTTCTTTTTTCCATAAGGAATGTTATTATTTATGAAAATATGACGGGATTACAAAGTCTTAAGACTTCGAAACTATAACCTTTATTTAATAATTCTGTGATATACATTGTAAAAGATAGCACAAATTAAATTTCTGCTTGACGTGCTTAACTTTTAAAAGCTTTTAAATTGTTTTAAAGCACATTTGTATGATATGATAACGAAATAAAAAACAAAACTATATGAAGTCACAGATGATTACTTAAATCCTATACTGCAATGGTCTTTTCTTAACTTGCAACAGAGCACAGCTGGTTCTAGGGCATAATCTTAAATCTGCTAATTGACGAGCAGATGATATACTATGACATGAAAACAGACACAAAAGAGCACCTTCTCCGAATAATTCTTTTGACAGATTTTGATTCTTGACCCTCAAAAAAGGGAGGTAGCCACAATCTAGAAGAGTACTAATAGAATCTAAAGTTTGAACACCTTAAATTCATTTGACAACACACTTAACACCTAAATTTTGCAACATCTTGAAAATTTTTGCATAAAATTATAAAATTTGCTTCTACAAAATAACTTCGTGTTAAAAATTGTTTTACATATTTTTTCCTTATTTTTAATTATTTGCAACAATGGTGAAAAATATTTGAATTATAAAGGGTGAAAATTTTTATATCATTTCAAAGTTTCTAATTTTAACCAACAAATTAGAAAATGTATACAAAATCGGTAACAATTTTTGAATTATAAAACTTTTATATTTACGATTTTTTAAAATTTGGTAACTTAAGAAATATTTTATTAATTTCACTCAAATTTTGTATTTTATCATTTAAAATTACATACTTTAACAAGGAGTAAAAATATGCATGCATTACAATTCAAAAGATTTGCAACTATGCCAAAAATAAAATAATTATTAAAAATTATTTTATATGGAAATTAACTTTGAGTAAACAGCTGTATATTTATATGCAAAAAAAATTTTTTTTTGATTTGCGTAACAAGTTTATGAGACATGGCGAAATACAAAAAAAAGTGAAAGTAATATTCTCCTGCCTCAGTTAATGGGATCGTATTTTCCAGATTACAGCTACTTCCCCCCTGTTTCAAGGGTTAGAAATCCTAATCTGCCGTTAAGAAATATATATTACACTTATATCTTTGATTTCATAACTTAAAATATCATCTGCACAAATTAATTAGCATATTCAACACTTTTGCTGCAGATGTGTGCCGGCAAGAGACAAAATTCTTTGCTAACAGTTTGTGTCGATACAACAGATGCATATTATCATCCAACTATTTTTGAAGAAAACATATTCTTTAGCAACAATAACACGTTGATAATTTTAAAAAAATTTATACGAGCCTTTTAAAAACTAAAATGGTTGCTAAAAATAGACATTTAACTTCATCGATTATCACTTTTCAATATATACAATATAACCACCTGTACTTGGATAGCAGTAAACATGTTAAGGTTAGACACATCCCTCATACAAACAACCATTCATTGGGATTGTGTGTTTGCGACCCTCAAACCATTAAGATTGAATCCCAGTATATAAAAAGTCTGATCATTAGATCAAAAGTTATTTACTTATATTATAGTTTAAAATTCACTTCTTTTTTTTGTGTGTGGGATTGTGTGTGTGACCCTCAAACCATTAAGATTGAATCCCAGTATATAAAAAGTCTGATCATTAGATCAAAAGTTATTTACTTATATTATAGTTTAAAATTCAATTTTTTTTTTTTTTTTGAACATTGTACGTGAGATTTTGTTTATCTATAAGAAAATAAATGTCATACACAACTTTTTGCTTACAACTAGAAATACTGGTGGAACAAGAAAATAGGCTTTAACATGCTTGTATATTCTTTGTATATTCTAAAAGGTAAAATAAAATGTTTCTGCGGCTCGTCTTAATGCATAATCTATTTTTTTTTAAATAGTTTTTTCTTTTACTTTGTTTAAAAATTATGAAATTTCAAAACAATGAAATTTTAATAGCATGTCAATGGTTTAAATAAATAGTTATTTTATTTAGATAATTATTGCTTTCCGAAAAACGTTGATTTAAATTAGAATTCTTTAAAATGTAAGTAATTTTTAAGATTTGAGAGAAATTTTAAAGTATAACAACTAAATAAAGTATAACAACTAAAGTTTTGAAATAAAATAGTTTATAAATTAGTTTATAAAAAAATAATTTTGCATTTAATAGAAAACAATGAACTTACATTGTGATTGTTAAAAATTCATTTACTATTTTGAAAAAAAATCAACATAGCAAGGTTTTAAGAAAAAAACCCTTCGATACAGAAATTAAAATTAACATTAGGTGGATATGTAATTGCAAGGGGAAAAATATTTTTCTTATAAAGCAAGGTTTCTGAGATATCGAGGGTATACTGTAATGCAGCTATGTCATTCTTATACATAAAATAACATTTATATGTGCCACTAAAAAAATAATAAACATGATTTTTTTTTAAATAAAAATTATCAAGATATAGGACAAAATTACAGGTTACCAGTGACCACAGGGCAAATTAATATAACAAATGATTATGACGATTAAAAAATTGTCTGCAAATCACTTTTTTCGTCGAAAACTCACATCATGTGCATTTCATTTTCTTAAAAATAAATATTTAATTATTATAAGATAATTATGAAGTAATATTCGGAAAATTATTTTAATTCCTGCTTGTTTCTTAACATTTTTCTTCATTTTAGAAAGGAAACACATTTTGAGAAATGCTTCAAAGGAATTGCCTTACGTTACTATGATCAAGATTCTTTTCTTTTTTTTTTAAATCATTTGAAATCTTTAATTTTTAAAAAAGTGACCACTGTTAAAAATGCTACAACTAGCCAGTGTAGTGTATCTACCACTACAAAAATACAATTCCAATTCACTAGTATGTAAGACATGTTAACTTGATTCTTTGTTGGGGTACTTTTTCATAGATGAAGGTTGATATTGCTGATGACTACTATTCCCACAGTCAGTAGCAAAATTTCCCCTTTTGTTACTCCTAATAAATTTCCAAATTTTTTTGAAAAAGTGGCCACTGTTTAAAATGCTACAACTGGTCAGTAGCAAAATTTCCTAATTTTGTTCCTAAGATATTTTTAAGCATCTTAAACTCTAATGAATTTATTTTCCCTAATTTTCAATTGCTTTTTTTAATTGAATTCTCACATTTTCCCTGACATTTTACTTATTCTTCCAGATTTCCCTGTTCCAGCACAGACAAAGAAATGGTTTTAAAAAAAAACTGATAAAATATGTGAATGTATACCTTCAATAATTTTACTTCTTTCTTCTGCCCTTTTTCTTCTGTCTTCTTTTTCCTGAATCTTTCTTAAAGCAGCTTGTTTGGAAAGTTCTTTTTCTTTTTCCCTCTTCCTCTCCTCTTCAGCTTCAGCAGCCATTTGTTCCTTTAAAATAAAATTACTTATAACTCTTATAATGATGGCCATAAAACAATTTTCTTATAAATTTAAAATGTCCTTTTTTCTATTTTTGAAATTTCACTCTAGAAGCACTTTCTCTTTAACCATTTAATGGCCATACACATAAGAAATCTATCAATAGTTTCCATTGTAATAAAAAATAAGGTAGCCACTCTCTAGACAAATTTAAATTCCGTCAGATTTTCGGAACGAAAGTGAAAAAAAATTCACAAATTGTTCTGATTAAAATTTATATAATTTAAAAATTCACATATTTACATGCATTTAAAATTTAAATCAAAAGAATGAAACCAAAATCACCATGCCTAAAATTTTAATGATATTAAACAAAAACATTTTTATGATTTCTATTAAAATTTTTCAGTACTAATTTTATTACAAGCTTAAGGTGGATAGAAGTTGGTTTTCAATAATGTTCATTATCCATATGTTAAGAAAACTGTCATTGTATGTTGTCCATTAGAATTGTTCATAATAAAAATAAAAAAATTATTGTTTACTAAAATAGCACTGGTGACAAAAAATAAAACTTGGTAAGTTTCAAAAGATGGGTCACATAAAAAAGCCTAATAATATATTGAAACACTTGATAATGTGCAAACAGAGTTTACATTCCTGAGTACAATTTCCTTATTATAAAGACTTCCATTATTCCAATTCATAGTCTCTTTAGTTCCGTGCACACGTTATTTTAACACCCAATAAAACATCTGCACTGAACCTTTCATTCTAATATAGTGGCCAAATTTTAGTCATTTGATTCAGAAAAAGTGTTTAAGAAATTATTAAAAGCATTGATGTTACCAAAATAGAAAACTAATAAATCAAACAAAAATCTGTAGAAAAAAATTATAATCTGAACATACTTCCAGTTTTTTTGCAGCCTGCACTTTACAGATTCTGGAAGAAGTCCGCTTTGGAGCTAATTCTAACAACCTCTTCCTCAAAAGTCGCTCCTGAAACAAAACACATTGTGTTAGGCACTTTGAATCAGAAATACAATATTAAAATCTTCCTAACATTAAATCTTATTAAAATTTTAAATGCAATTTTAATCAAGTTTAAAAAGTTAAAGCAAATAATTATAGGGTAATTTTCCAGAAAATTAATACAAATATTGCCAGCACTTTTAACTTCTTAAAAATAAATACAAATTGTAATATAAATACAAATTGAGATATTGGATTTTTAAATCTCGTAAATAAGAATTGCAATGTACGATATTCAAATCGCGTGAATAAGAATTGCAGAGCACAAGTTATAAATAGGACTGGGCGATATTAGAAATTATATATCGTGATGCATCGTCAGTTTTGCATCACGATATAGCGATGTATCGCGATATAGTATTTTTGAATTTCANGCAGAGCACAAGTTATAAATCACGTAAATATGAAAAGCTATGTTTGATATTAAAATCGCAGGAATAAGAATTGAAATATTAGCAGATTCCGGGCTCGTGGCTTCTAAAAGGCTCGTTTGAAGCAGGGACGTCTTAATTACGAAAATACTGACAGCCGAGATTCTCTCAGAATATCATACCTGTATATCAACAACTCAAAAGAAAAAAAAGNAATGTATTACAACAAGAGATATGTCTCGATACATCGATTTATAGCCCAGTCCTAGTTATAAATCACGTAAATACGAAAAGCTATGTTTGATATTAAAATCGCAGAAATAAGAATTGAAATATTAGCAGATTCCGGGCTCGTGGCTTCTAAAAGGCTCGTTTGAAGCAGCGACGTCTTAATTACGAAAATACAAGCTATCTGGCGGGCGGGGGAAAATGCGGAAAATCTTCTGCGCATAAAAGCAGAGAAAATAGCTAAAATAAGTAAAAATGAGGAAGGGTTGGCAGCTATGTAGTTTTAATTTTCCCCTTATCTGTGAAAATCGGAAATAAATATAATTATTTTAGTTCATCAGCCGAGTTTTCTGAAAATGAGGAACATTTATTTTTAAAAAAAGTGAAAATTTTAGATAATCGGAGTTTTCGATAAAAAGACTGAAATTCGAGATACAAAAGCGAGCAAAGTTGAAATCCGCTAAAAAGTGGAAAAATCTTATCCCTGCATATTAGGAATCATCAGGACGTCGACAAGTCTGGAAAATAAATTTTTTCAGACAATAGATCTGTAAGATCAACATACATTAAAACATGCACGATTTTAAATAAAGCCAACGAATCACTCCTCATCTGGGTCCTGTCAACATATTTAGTAAAAAGAAGATTTAATTCAATCGTAAAGCTTCTCACAAAACAAAGAAGTAGGTTGAACATTTGCTTCGAAGGAAACCTAAGAATAAATCTGATGAACATAAAGCCTCATAGTCAGGCTTTAACTGAAATCCACCAAGCATAAGGCAGTCATTGAAGAGGTAAAATTGAAGAACTTAACTTTCTAAATATTAATTTTTTCTCCCATTTTAGTTGTTAACGTTTTCAATTTTTCCAGATTACACTATTAAAAAAATAATAAATTTACTCTAGTTTCAATTATTTTGCTTCAAATATCACCTCTTTTTAAAAATAAAAAAAAATTGAAGGCATGCACATTTTTTTAAAAAAGATTTTCCACAGTGACTGGATAAAATTACTTCATGATTTACATTTTAATTTAAATTAAATTCAGATAAAATTCAAATTTATTGACGCTCACTTGCAACAATGTATGGGGTTTTTTTTCAAGCAAGAAGAAAAAAGGGGCGATAAATGTCAGCCAACGTCTGCATGGGGGTGGTGAGCAACAAACGGTTGGGAAACACTGATTTATAACTACTTGTTTTTTGCAAATGGCTTATAAGAAAAAGCAATGAAGGAGTATCATTATCTGGGACAAATGTAAAAATGAGTTTTAAAATAAAATATCCTAATACCTATTTTACCAAAAGATATTTATTAAATAATTACATACAATAATACATAGCATTACTATTTAACAAAAAAAGAAAAACTTTTAGAGTCTGTTAATGAAAATAGAGTAAAAAATGATAATCTACATAATTGAACTATCTTTAGCAGGTCCATTCTTAATTTCTTTGAATAATCTCCTTCTAAATAGATAAATTATAAAAAAATAAATCACACAACACTTACCTTTTCATTAACAATTTTTGTGATGTTTTCAAGATAATGTGTCTTAATTTCTTTAGCTAATTCTTTTTCACTTGCATTTTTGCTCTTTGAAAACTTCTGAGCCAGTTTTTCCCAATCATTCAAATTAAAACACACTATTGACCAGGGGATATCACTAGGAGGAACAACAACAGGTTTTATATTCCGAGCACCTTGACGTCTGCTGCCACTGAAATATGCGTAACAATTATTTAAACTGGATTGGTAAACTTGTTACCAATTTAAATTAACCAAGTAAAGACTGAATGAAGTTAGTCTTAAAGTCACAAAGCAATCACAAAGAGTTTTCCCTTCAGTGCTTTTAATTTATTTAAAACAAAATTATACTTTGGAATTAAGAATAAAACTCAGTTTGAAATAGCATCATGATTAAATATTTTTTAAAACTAGAAAGTAAAGTAAAAAATAAGCAAGCAAATAATCAATTAAATAGAGAGTAAAAAGAAAAAAAATAACAAAACACTTACTTTTTTACAGGAACATTTTCAACTTTCTTTTTCTTTGACAGGGAATTCTGCTTCCTATTAACATAAATATAAAAACATAATAAAATGGCTTTAAGAAAAAATAGGAAGCATAAACTGTTCTGAATATATATTTTAAATAGTGAATAGAACCATAAGGCTATAACGTACGGTTGATTATTGAAATATTTTTAAAATTAAAATATTTTTAACATTTTAAGTAGTGAATAGAATTATAAGGCTATAATGTATAGTTGATTATTGCAATATTCTGAAAATGAATATTATGTATGGTTGATTATTGTAATATGTTTAAAATCAATATTAATTATTATTGGTTATTGTAAAATTATCGACTTTTAGGAAGACATTATTGTAATAAGCTCTACATTCATTTCCAATCTTATTGACTTTAAAATGACCTATGTCTACTTTTAATACAACACAGTTCATTGTAAACTATAGCTGACAATAATTAATATATCGAAAATTATTATTCTTATCGATTATTGCAATGTTGTAAAAATGAATATAAAGCATTATTTATTATAATATTGATGAATGAATATAATATATTGTAATAGTCTACTTTTAAGAAGACAATATTGTAGGAAAAAGTTTTACATGCATTTTTAATCATATTGGCAGTTATAAACTACTATGATCTGTGTTCACTTTTAGTAAGACATAGTTCATTGTAAGCTATAACTGACATCTGTATATGTTCTGTAAATTAAAATAAATTTGATAATTTATTTTCAACATTTTTAAATAATATCGAAATTATGTTATAACTAAATTAAGTTAAAATTGAACTAAAATTACGACATAGCTTGTAAATTCAGTAAAATAATATAGATTTCAGAGATTCTCAACACTTAAAGAACTTTTAAAAACCTGTAAAACTTTGTGTTTTAACTTTGAGAAATATTATCAAAATTCTACTGTAGATTTATAAGTCGTGGTGATATTGGGATGCAAGGCTAAAGATGCATTTTAGTAGAGGGGGTCTGCAACCCTTTGATGAATTACACTAGCAACTCAATGTAATTTTTTAAGGTAATGGTAGTAAATTAGTAACACAATCCTACATTCTTTTTTAATTGTATTAAACTTATTTCGAAATTTTTATAATTGTTTTTTTTTTAAAAACAAGAAAAAAAATCGTCTTTTTCATAAATAAAATAGTTACAAAATTGCTAACTATAAGTAATTGTATGGCTTTTTTATTAGCATTTGGTCACACTCAGTTTTTTTATGTGATTTCAACAGGAATCAAATATTTTATTTAGCCTCACGTGCAAAAAAGTTTATATTAATTTTAGGAAAATTAAACTAGCTTGGGAAAACACTAAAAGTCAATTTACTAACTGTCAATATATGTATGTTTAATCTATCATAGCAACTATAAGAGTAATCATATATACAGATAAGTAAATGAAAGTTTTTAAGTCCATAATGCTTAAAAATTCTGAATAAGGGGGTGATTCCACTTTGTTAAAGGGTGAAAAATCAAAACAAACCTAAATCCTGATTTTGCAAAATCCTTGCTTTTTCATAATTTTTCAAAACTTCTACAATAAGTTATATTTCTAGCATAAGAAAATTGATACAATTTTTATTAATCACCTATTATGAAAACCAATATTACTTTAATTTCGAATTGCATGAAAGCAATATTAGCTTTTTACATAACATCATATTGAATATCGTTTCTGATATGCATGCTTACTCACATTTCATTAAATAAATGAATTAAAGCAAGATCATTACTGAAAAATAACATTACTAACATTGCAGCAACTAATAATACTTACGCAGCATTTAGACTTTCTTTATAGAGGCGCTCATCACTGAAATACCAATAGGAATATTTTTCACTGTCTTGACCAATACATTTTGCCTGCATATGCTCAGCCGGAATGTCCTTCAAATACAAAAACAAAATTAATTCAAAGGGATAGTTTTAATTATTTGCACGACAATTAAGCACCTTTACTAGGATTCCAAGTTATTTCTAAGTTACATAAGCATTTGAAGTTAACAGGCACAAGCTAGCTAAAAATAGGAAAAAGAATATGAGATAAAAGGAAAATTTTGAAAGAAAAAACACAATTTTGTGTGCAGCAAATGTATTAACTAATCTTTTTGTTTTATTACTTTATTAACAAAAGATATGAAATAAAAGAAAAAAATCAGAAAGGAAGAACTTTACAACAAATCAAAAAGCCTATTTTGTATGCAGCAAATTTATTACTCAAGATGGTTTCTTAAATTCCGTTGTTTCTAATGCCACATGCTAGCAAGTCTGCTTGGTGAAACCAAGAAAATTTAAGGCAAAAGGTGTGTTTCTTATTTCCTAGTGGCACCATCCATGGCTAAGAATCAGACTTCAGCCACACACACGTCACAGCCTGTTTATAGAGCAGACCGATTCATTCATCACAGATCATAATTTTGACCAGAGAAATATCAATCCCCATTCAGAACCCACAGAAGTATTGATTTGTGACGGGAACGTGGAGGACTTTGTGACCCGACAGATTTAACATGTCCCAATCACCCTTTACTACACAGTGAGTATTCGGCCGGTGTATATCAAACTCACGACCTCTTGGACATGGGTCTAATGCCCAAAGAACCAGGCTATCCCAGCCTTGCTTAAATTCTACTTTACGGTAGCAGAAGTATTCACTTTTATGCTTTATAATAAGAATTAACATCAAGTTTCTTAAACTTTTAACAAGAGCACTGAATGATGTTAAAATATCAACTGCTCAAAAAATATAGCATCTGAAAAAGATTCAAGTTATTTTGTCTACTTAAATAAGATTAAATTACAACTATTTAAAAATAAAACAATTGAAATGTGTAAATTTGCCAAGACCAACAAAGAAAAACTGACCATACAAATCTCAGTTTAATTTACACAGCATTTAAATTGAAGTTTTTTAGTGAATGACTCCCTAATAAGCCATGCAACAAAAATCAGAAAGACCTGCATCTGATTACAAAATGAAAATTGATTTTGAGTATTTTTTATAGACTTTGTAAAGAGCAAGATAGAACAGTTTTGGTGGTGTGGTTAATTAATGTCATCAAAAAATCTCAGAAACATAAACTTTTTTTTTTTCAAAAAAAAAAAAAAAGGAAAATTTTTGAATTTAAGAATGAACCTCAAGTTAGAGTTAAGAGTAATATTGTGAAGGGGAGCTTTTTATTATAAACTAGGCTCAAAATGATTACTTCAGAAAATGAACACAGCTCAAAAAGTGTGTTAAGAAAATGAACATAACGAAATATGCGAAATACGCACCCCTTCAATCGTCAACTTAAATTAAACAACTAAACCTACCTACCTCAACCTCGTACCTGCTTTATTAAACACTACGCATAATCGTTACATACATCAGTCAAAGTGGCTGGATATATTACAGGTACAACTTTTCACATAATTTCTTTGCATTCAGAACACAAAGGGATAAAGTGCTTTTAAAAAATCTAAACTCATAAAATGCCAATTCAATATTATAAATTTATATCACCCATAACAACCTTGTAGAAAAAACTATTGACTTTTAATATCTTTTCAAAAAATTTTATTTCAAAAAATGTACGAATTAATTCAGGCAAATGGGATAACATTATGAATTTATTTGAATATGTTAGTTCATTCCTTTAAAAAAAAAATTCATAAGAGAAGTTGAAAAAAATGGAATAAAATTCTATGCCCATTTTCTTAAATTGTGATTTTGAACTGTACCATCTATACTTCTGGGATATAATTATTGTTTTTAGTGTGTTTTGAAGCCATTTGGCTCACAATGAGATCATTATGTTTTAAGACACTCTTGAGTAGTACTTCTTGTATACACACATTTGTCATCCGATTAATTGTGTTTAAAAGAATCATCATTTGAAGACATTTCAATATATAAGAATTGTTATTTGAAAAAAGAATCAATATGAAACACTTCTTACATTGTTAACAATATATCAACTTCAAAGTTACTAAATGACAATTTGTAAAAACTTAATCTCGCTGTTGGAACAATACGCTGACACTAACGTATGATGGTGCACAGCTTGGACCAAGAATAAACAGTAATAAACAAGTAAAAAAAAGGCCAAATCAGAACTGCCAAAAAAGAGAGTTCTTTCTAAGCCTAACAACCATGTCACCTTCTTTAACAAGACATCTCTAAATAATTAAAACAAATTTTCACCTCAAACTCACCAGAATTACTTAATATCTTATGAAATACAGCAGATTTGAGCACAGAAATTAGATAATTTATTTCTTTTATTAAAAACAAAACTATCTGTTTGAAAATATCGCCTCGCAGAATGAGCTGTAGTAAGAAGCTGTTTACTTTCTAACCGGAAGTACATCAGGTAAAAAATTGTAGTGGTATTGTAGTTGTTTACATTTATATTGAAAACACCATCCAAAAAAAGCACCCACAATAAAATTTGCAAAAATTATTTGAAAATATAAGATTATTTCGAGATTGCGTGAAAATAAATTACCTTAATTAAGTCTTCAGCAGCTGCAACATCCAGTCGAATGTGACAGAGTTTAAACAATACTTCGACCTTTAAGCGAGGGGTCAGTGAATGGAAGGAAGAATTATTTAGAATGTTCTCCTCTTCATCCAAATTACCATCAAATAACTCTTTCAATTTTTCTTCCCAGTTGAAACTTCTGCAAATAAAAATTAAACTGAATTTTGAGTCTTCAAAATAAAGTGACAGAGCTTCAAAAACCAATAAGAACGCATGCCTACAATACCATTATAAGTTTTAACTAAATAAATGTGGAAGTTTATGTATGATGAAAAATTTATTGAAAATTCCTAATGACAAAGGATTCTACATTTGAACTTTTTAAAAAAAAAATTATGAAAGTAGTCTATGTAAAAAAGGATCCCAAACAATTGTAACTTTATGCTCACAATAAATAAAAAAAAATATTAAAATAATTTGTTAAAAATTCAACAAAAATGAGTTTGTATTCTAAAAAACAAAAAGTCATCTCAAACTACCTAGCAGAACAATTTTTTTTGTTTAGAACAGTAAACAATGGGTTACATTAAAATCAGTTAATAACTCAATAAATTATTGAATTAAATGACTACTTTTATAACTCGGAGCTAAATATGCATTGGTTATTCACTACAAATTAAAATTATTAATTTCAAAGTAGTTTTGATACTTAAATTAAATTTTACCACATCCTTTCAATAAACCTTACACCTCCCATGAAGTATTCAATGCCCACAAGGGGGCAATAGTACCTAAACTTGGAACTTATGCTCTAGAGCAGGGATCGCCAAACTTTTTAGATCATTGACCCCTACATAATTTTTCGAAATCTCCATCGACCCCCACAAAAGTAATTTTCAGTTAATTAAAATAAAACTCTATTAGATACTGTGTTTGTACATTTATTTTATGATTTTAAACATTTATTAAAGTAATAGTACATTGTGTAACAATAGTTTTATGAAAAATATATTAACATTGAAATCTAAATACCTTATTTTTAAATAATAAGTAATTATGCATAAGTAGACATACTAAGTAAAGTAACGAAAGATTTACTACTTCTTGATCAATGAGATGGGTGTGCCTGGTGTTTTTTGCAAGGTTCGCTATATTGGGTTCAAAATTGGTCAATTTAAATTTTCGTCAAAATTGGCCAATTTTGTAATTTTTGTAAAAAAACACAAAGTGTGCTATAGTTTTGTCGCGGGCTGTACTAATCCATATTAATAATGCTTACATTCTTTTTTATGCATTGATAATTAAAATTGATAATTAAAATTGATATCTAAACTAAACGAATGGTTTTATCGAAACAATAACTAATTATCCAAAGCTATAAAAGTTTTAATAATGACACTGCAAATATTCAACACAGTCTGCAAAGATAGCTGAAACTACGTATGATATTTGCATTTGTAACGTCAATGCTCGTCACACGTGACATTTGGACAAGCGCACATATGCATATGACTTATAAACTGCGCTGAGTTCGTGCCACTGCTCGGTGGTACGTAAATACTTGTTTCACCCCAATAAATACACGTTTATTAATTTATGTTTTATAAAGAAACTGATATTGAGTCAATTATAAAAAAAATTCACAAATTTTACATACTTAATGAGGTATGTGTGATTTGCGTATTGAGAACTGTTTTTTTTTCCGACCCACAATCGATCCTTCCGATTCGGATCGACCCCCATTCGCCCCCCTGTCTCAGATCGACCCCCGCTTTTGTTAAATAGATCCCTGGGGGTCTATATAGACCACCTTGGCAACCTCTGCTCTACAGTAACAATGCTTGACACTAATGTAAGAGTTTAAGTGCAGATTAACAATCTGGCACTAGAGCTGTAATTGACATATGGTATTTTAATGCTGCAAAAGGGTAGTATACACAAACATCAAGTGTTAAAACTGAAAATTTCTGACATTTTTAATAAATTTTTAGTTAGTATTACTACTTTGCAATAAATATGTTTGCATTTTGTACATTTTCATAAAGTTTCGATGACCAAAAAGTTCTTTATATAACCTACATAAATTAGCATTTTAAAAATTCTTAATATTTCTGTTTAAAAAAGAAATGCAAGTAAAAATTCTATTAATGCTCGTAACTTTAGAACTAAAATATTCCCTGTGCTAAGTATCATGTTTTTAGTATCTTAAGCTATAAAAATATTGTGGGCTCATGCAAAATTTTAGCATTATTTACTGCCTTGTAGTTTTAGTTTTCTTTTATAAAGAAACAAACAATTTACACAAACGAGCAAATAAATGAATCTTTTGCTTAAATCTTTGAAGTTATATTTACTTCACTTCTCCTTCATCATAGCAACCTTCCAAAAGTTTAGTAATCAATTGATCCAGTGATATTGATATTTCTGGATCCTGCATGTTAAGAATAGCTGCTTCAAGTTCCTGGAAAAAAAAATGGAATGACATAATTTGACTAATAAAAATAATATAAATTACTTTAAATATATTAAAAAATGGCAACAGACACTTACCTCAACATCAAAGTATATTAGATTAAATGCTGCCCGAAAAACTGAGCAGAAATGTGTAATAGCAGGCACTTCCCACCAACTTTGAACGTCTGTTGAAAAATAATAAACACACAATGATTAATACAGTATAGATGAATTATATAAATGAAAAAATAATTTAGTTATGACTCAGTCTTATTTAATAATAATTCATGCATTGAAGTAGTCAAAAGTCTAAACTTTGTATTAGTATCAAGCTTATCTACTTATACCTAATCAATTAAGTTAAATGAGATACATAAATGCTATGTTTACAATAAACAAAAAAACCTTCTGAATAACTTTTGTTGTAATGATAGAATGTCAACATAATAAAAAATAACCTTAAGAGTTGTAATGTTAATTGATTAACAACAGCATTGGCTAACTCACATTATTTGTTACATTTAAGAATTTGTTTACTTAGGAGACATTTGTTTCTACCTCGATTGATAATAGTGTGATGGCTTGCAAGGAGACAAGCTGTTGCATTGCACATTAAGAAATCAATATATATTTTTAATTTTATTAAGTTTAATATTTCTGAAGTAAACTGTTGGCATCAAATTTAAGTAGATTAGGTTGAAGTTAAAAGCCCGGTGTTCAGTATCTTCTCTCTCACATTCTTCTTTGGAGCTAACCTTGTAACTAACAGTAATTACGTCATCTCCAAGTCGAGTTCTGCGAACAGGACTTTATGGTGAAAATAAAAGGATTCAAAATAATGGACAAATGATTTTCCATTTGAAAGAAAAATGAGTATAACAGGGATGTGGAAGTCCTCTCCAAAAGTAACAGTGTTAATTGTCTGTCAAAAAATTCCACAGAGTCACAGCTAAAATCTATGTGCTTTTAGTGGATATTGGCAAACAATTTACAACCTCGTAAGCACAATAGCAAACCAGGAATAGTGGATCCATAAGTAAACTTACCAGTACATATCTCACATAGCTCACTGAGGTTTTAGGTGATGCTAAATTTTAGTGGAGCTGAGTGATTGTCTAGTTAAATACTCTCTTAACACGAAATGGGGATGCTTCTGAATTAATACCTATTCCCGCCAACTATTGTGAAGGCGTCATAGGGATTTTGAAGATGCAAACATTTTATTTTTTTTAAATATGTCAAGATTTGTGCAAAGCTCCTTACTCCCGAAATGTTTCCTTCCCTTTCTTTTTTAAATTCTTTGTGCGAGCTATTTCCCTAAAGTCACCAAAACTGGACAATTATTTAAGTTTGAGAAAGGACATGGAAATCTTTCTAATGACCCTGGACATAAATCAAAGGGGATGTTGGCGCCACACTCGGTTATGGCTACGTTTATCTATTTAATTTGGAGGAAAGAAGAGCTCCTGTTGTTTTTTGTTCTGTTATAGTCGGATGTCTGCATAATGGCGTCATTCATCGCTTCATTAATAAATTGTTAAATAGTTATCGTTTACCCTTAATTATTCGTCATACAGTCCGCTTATCGACCCCCTCAACAGGGGATATTTCCGCATCGTGATCTGTCGCACCAACTACAATCGCAAAGGTGCCAAATAAATTTTAAACTTTCAAATATTTTCTTAAAAAATTTTTTAGATGCTTGCCCAGGGGGTGGATACGAGTTATACCTTTCATGTTAATCCCCTTCTGTGATATTTTTTCTTAGTTTCTCGAGTGGAAGCTGCCCGGAAGTTGCCAAGACTTAGGGATAATTCTACCACAAGATGGAAATCTCCCCAAATCACAGTAAAAATTTAATACATAATTATGTAACAAGCATTTAAAATAAGTTTCTGACAATCCGAGAATTAACTGCCAAATAACGAAAAGAAAAAAAATTTCTGCATCTTTTAGATAAATTTACGAAAGATCAATCACTTGAAGTTATTATAATAATAAAAAAAACGATGCAATATTAGCCATAATTTTATACAAAACACACTCCTTCTGAAGGTACGTTAATTGCTGCAAATACAAGATTATTTGAATTAAACAAAGTAAAAATTACAACAGAGACAAGCATAATTAAAATTGCATTAATACCTTTAAGATGAAACATCAAAATTAAAGAAAACATAGAGTGAAAATGCAATACAATAAAATTATAAAAAGAGATAATTGAATTATATTAAAGAATATAGCCTGAAAATACCCTTCAACAATAATGACATTTACAAAATCAAAACGCGTCAAAGGAAAATTTCAACTCTCGTAAAACTGTAATTCAATATAATGAAGTTGAGAAAATGCATAGTAATTTATGCATAGTCAATTGCAATGACATTTACCGGCAATAAGATTTTAGGGACAATAGGTCATACTAGTTTTTCAGGCTCAGGTTATGGAAAAAGAATACAAAGTCAAATAGCTTGAGCGAAGAACATGAAACATTAATATTTTTTTAGAGAACTTCATCTTAATTTTATCCACTACTTGAACTAATTTCAATTTTGACCTCTTATTCGAAAAAGCGTGCATGTAATTTAATTAGGAACTATTAAATACGCAAAAATTAATTTTAAAAAATTTCAATTACCTTCCATTGATTAAGAAATTCTTTTAAACACCCAAGATTAAAATATATTAATATGACAATCTAACTTTTTTACAATTTACGCACAACTTTTTGCACGAAATCAAAACTCAATACCAATATTGCCAAAACCTTTTTTCTTATAATGGTTAATTAAATATCTGCACGCATTTAACAAATATATTCTTGAGTGTTTTTGTTCAGAAACACGCAGTATATGATTTTTATCGATCAAAAACCCATTTTTCAATTCTTTTATACTTCTTTTATCTTGTATTAAATCTCTTTTTTATAATGAATAGTTGTATTTTAATATATATGGTGACATTACTTATTTCTGAAGTGCCCTCTTCAGGCTTAAGGAACGTTCTCCTGAAAAGCTAAAATCGAAGCAATGCAGTGTTAGCTCTACCTCATACGGCTGAATACTATCTTTTCAATTTTTAAATGGTGCTGTAGTAAATTTACTGTTGCCTGTCTACCGAGACGACGATAGGATAATCGGTAAGATGGCGAAAAGAGGTCGTCCCCGGAAAAAAGATAATTTAAAATCTCCTCCAAATACTTCTGATTCAAGTAAGCTTTTTCAAAGTTATAAATTTATAGATGACATCCATCTATTGATTGCAACACTTAGTAAATGTTGTTTAAGATAAGTTTTCACCGTGTATGTGTTTTTCTCTCTCAACCGCTGCCTGTCTCCATGTTGAAAACGATATTAGATAGACGTACAAAAGCACTTTAGTATGTTTGTACAGACACAATCCATTGCGGAAATTCTTTATTTTTGCATGATTATTTGGTTTTTTTTTCCTTTTTGCATGTTTAAAGTGATCTTTTTCGATCTAATGCGGAAGTTTTGATCTTCTGTGTTCATTGATCTGGATCTGTTTTGATGTTTGGACTGCAATCCCTCTGGTTTTTGAAAAAGCTAGTGCCAAAGCTTCTTTAATCAAGGACTAGATAGTAACTTTTTCTTTGAAATATGATGATTTATAAATAAAATTGTTTGTATACCTTTCGATCGTTCCATTATTAGCATTAATTATATTTAATTATTAAACATAATTTATTGATAATTAAATATTTGTTTGTAAACAAATAAAATGATGGGCTAAAATTTTTTCTTCAATTTTTTTAAATTTATTATCTATTAAAATAAGTAATTACCTAATTATGAATATGACATACAAAAATATTCTATATTTATCGATCGATATATTTTGAATGTTAGTTTCATTACTTATTTTTTAATAAATAGTTTAATTTTTTTTTAATACTATTTACATGATTTCTTGAATCATGTATAATTTTTACTGTGAGAAAATATTGTTTTAACTCTGTTAAAATTCATTAGTTCGTAATTTGTTCATCCCTATAATCAATTAATTCTGAAATTTAAAGATTTCTACTATGATAAAAAAATATATTTTATAATTTATTCTCTTTTTTGATTCTTTATTTTTATAAAAAAAACGCACTAATTTGGTAACTTTTTTTCAAAAGTTGTGATTGTTAAATTCCTTTTTTTTTTAAAAGATAAATATTTGATTAATTTTATAATTCCCAAAATAATTTATGCAATTTACTTTTAACATTATTAAATATCATTATTCATAATGTATTTATTTGAAGAATTAACTAATTTTTAGAGTAAACTTTTAAGAACAAGTTATATTTTTATATAGCTGGTGCATTATTTAAAAATTTACATTATTCATGTTCCTTCCATTCTAATGAATTGTTTAACTATACAACACTTTTATTTAATATCCTTAGTTATTTTTCCCAATGTTCAATTAATTTGTTTATTCTAAGTAAATAATGCTTGTAACTTTCTCTTCATTGCATTAATTAGTCTCAAACTGTTTGTAAATAAATGTATTAAATTTTAAAATTCATTTCTAAGGATTGAAAGTAAGTTATGAGGCATATTTATATTATGTTTATAGCATCCCTTTTCCCCTGCTTCCACTCCAACTAATGATAACATAGTTTCTGAAAATGTTCCTTCTAAAATATTCAACTGTTTAAATGTTAAACCCAAACCATGTTCAATTCTGACTTATAAAATTAATCTATATCAAAGTTTCCAAAACAAGTATTTTGAAGACAAACATTAAATTATTGCACAAAGTTTGTTTAAGGGATTTAGGTTTTGAAAGTAATTATAGTGTTTTTTTTTTTTAAGCCATGAATAAAATTATAATTCTTCAAACAATTTTGAAAATTTTAAAGCATTAATTTGTATTTAGTAATCTTTTGACATTAAAACAGTTAATTATCTGATATTGCAAATTTTAGTAGTTATCTGTCTAGGTTTTTCTGAGAGGTACCTATTTTCTGAAAATTTAGACATAATTTGTGAAAAATTAAAAAATCAACACAAAATTATGGTAAAAATAGGGATTTATCGTTTCTTAAGGGATACAAAAATAAAATTTTAAAAAAAAGTATTTTGTGAAACTGCCGTTTTTCTAAAGTTGAATTTGTAAAGGTACCTCTAAACGGTAGCAAATTTGTTCTGGACAGACCGAATAATAATTAAATTAATATATATATAAATATTTATATTATAAATATTTATATTATGAATATTTATATATATATTAATTTAATTATTATTTTTTTTTCTGATTTTTTTTCTCCAGATTTTTATTATTTCTTTTCTTTTTCCCTTTTTTCATTGTTCTGTAATTTTTTCCCTGTTTTCTCTACATTTTGAACTTATATATATATATATTGTAATTGTATTAAGGTCAAATTTAGTACTGATACTAAACATGCATTTTCAAAGGTTTTCTACGTAATTTATCTTAAAATCTGCTATGATGATCATCATGCATTAAATTATTCTGATCTTTAAATCTTCTTCAACCATCTTTGCTACATCTGATTAATTTTCCTCTCCTCTAGGCATATAATGTATAATAAGAGGAACAAATTAGTTAAGACTTTCAGACAATGGAAGTAAAACATGCTTGAAAGTTACTTTTACTAGCATAAACTAATAGAAATCTTCTCATTTTGGAAATGATTGTGATAAAAATTAAATGATTATTATACTCAGTTCAACAAAATTTGATACTAGCATAAAGGTTTGCTGTTAATATATTTCAATTAACTACTCTTGTACAATTCACTACTCCTACTATTATTCAGAATGCTCTTATACTAGCCCTATTTCTCACTTCTACCCATCTTTCTTACATTCAATAACAGTTCTCGTTGAACAAAGTTTAGATTTTTACTTAAATTTCAATTCCGTTGTGAAATGTCTACCTCCACAAAGTTTTAAACTTAGGGGATCATCCATGTTTGAAAAATGACTAATTATAATAGATTCAAAATAATGTTTTTAAAAGAGAGCCGATTCTTAAATTTCAGGTTTATTGGCCTTTCTTCCTCTCCAAAGATTTTCTGTAGCCAATTTATTTTAAAAGTCAGATAAGACCAATGTGCATATAAGAAATTATAAACACAAAAGTATAGTATCAAGTTTAGCAAATTTAGATCATCGAAGTAAAGAAAAAAAAGCAAGGTTTTTTATCAATATACTTAATGTATCATATTCTAGTTAATGTGATTGGTTCTTATGATCTTATAGGCTATTGTAATATAAATTGAACTGTTTGCATGCTTAATGTGTAGTGTTCTGTGCTATTTCATCTTACACTGAATCTGAAAATATTACTAATCTGGAGATGGATGTAAAATATCCTCGGTTGTAAACAATTCATGGGTTAGAGTCCCCTTAACGTTAGGCTAACCATGGGAGGTTTTCGTGGTTTTCCTCTCCATGCAACCCAAATGCGGGTTAGTTCCATAAAAAAGTCCTCCGCGGAGGCAAATTTCTCCTTATGCTTGATCCAAGACTTCCTTTGTCTTCTGGATCGGGTTCAAAAGTACAAGACACAGAGTTGAACATTAGTAGTCATGAGCCCTAAAAATTGGATCGGTTGTTCGATGATGGTTATAAAATAAATATAAAATCTGGAGATGAATATAAAGGTCTATGAACAACATAAAGTGTCAATATCTGACTTCAGACATAGTAGAAGTACCTAGCAATTAAAGCCTAATCACCCAAGCCTGCCAACTGATCCAATCTTTTACCTGCCTGTTCATTCAAATATAAATGGAAGATCTTTTCTCAGCAATTATTGGTAGATTTTGAAGCTATTCTAAGCTGAAATTGGTGAAAGTAAATCATATAGTAAAAATTGAAAACAAATGTCTGTTCACTTGGTGATTTGAATCAGTAGACTATATTGAAATTTTTGATCCATATCATTTAGTTAGAATAAACTAATTTGAATCAGAGTAAAAATAGATCAGTAGGTGTTATTAAAATATCAATGTATATTCAAACTACTGCTTTATTGAGCCTAGAAAAAAGTGATAGCTCCCCATCTTAAAATATTGCAGTTCTCTCATAGTAATTTATTTAGAATATTAATAATTAAAAATTGTTTGCACAAATTCACAAAATGTTGCTCTTATTGTTTGCTATCCCATTATTCACATCAAGCTTTACTTCTTGATTGTCTTGCTTTAGTAATAATGGAATGAAGTAATAATGGATTGAAGGAGAAAAGAGTTGGGGGGAGATCTGTAAAACTTGCTTCCTCTTCTCATTAGCTACTCTGCAGGAAAAACATATTCACACCTGAATAGTGGGCAGTTTATAATGTAACTCATTTATTTGGTAATGGATGCACTTTTTTGATAGTTAAAAAATTTACATTAAGGTTTAATTTATTTTCACTAATGGGATATTTTTTAATAAAATTAATTTAAAAAACAATTTAATTTTTTTAACATGAATTATTTTAGTTTTTGTTTTTTAAAAAAATGTTTTTATCACTGCAAATATTTGTTTTATTCAAGGCATATCTTTCTCGAAAGGTACGAGTTAAATTTAAAATTTATTGATATTTATTTTTACTCAATACGTTTTTTTTTTATTATTCCTATATTTTAATTTATTATAATAGCTATCATATTGTTCTTGAATAAAATTATTTGTGCATATTAATTATTTATTGGCTTGTTTTTGTTGTTTTAATAAATGCATCATTAAGTTTAAACATTTTAATTTTTCGAGTTAAAGGTTTGCATCTAAAATGAACTCACCAATTCTAATAAATTAATTAATTATTATTTTTCTTTGTTTAAATTAAGCATAGTTATAAACAAAACAAAAATGAGCAGTATGATTTTGAAAATATTTTAATGTCTATGAAAATATTTTTCTTGTACAATAAAAAAAATATATACTTATCGCATTATGTATTAAAAATATATTTAATTAACTGTTAATATTCCAAGTAGTATAAAACAGAGCTGTTAAGACGGAAAAAATTTTCTTAATTCCAATTCGTTAAAAGTTAGGTAATGTAGATTAAAAGGGGGGGAATTTGATCTGATGAAAATTATTTGCACCAATTTTTATAATTATGTAATCTAATAAACTAACTAAATAAGTTATCTTTCAATTTGTAAATTTAAAAACAATTTTTTTTTTAGCTAAATTAATTTTTAAAAATATACAATCGAATTTAATGTGTCATTTGTAATAGTTTCCTAATCCTTGGATATTCAATGAATTATTATTTATTTATTTATTTTATGTATTTATTTATTTATTTTTGTCATAAGAAGCTTCTGGACGTGTGTAAGAGATATTGTTACATAGTTCTATATAAGGGTTTTGCACAATTACAATAATTTGTACAGATATATTTTTTCAACTGTTACGTTATATTACAGAATGTAATTTTGATTAGCCTGTTACTTCAATTGTTCATAAAAATAAGTGTATGATTTAAAATTACAAATTACTTTTAGTATTAATGCTTTCCTCGGATTTGGAAGGAATTTCCATTGATTATAAATCAAAGTCGAACTCTCAGGGAAGGTTGGAGTCCAACTTTTCAACCTCCACGGCTCCTGTGTAAAGAAAACTTTTTTGAATAACATTGAGTTTAATTAAATACAAAAATTAAATTAACATATTAATAGAATGATAATGTAAATTTTTCCAGTTAAAAACCAACTTTCATTTCCCTCTTCTTTTTTTTTTCTTATTCTAATAATACAAAGAATGAAAGGGTTAAGATCCACAGTTTTTACTAAAAATTACTGACCTATTCTATCACCATTATTCAAATTTCTTATTTATGAATAATAAATCTGAAATATTATGATACAATATTTTTTTCATCTTAATGTAACTAATATTAACGTGGATGTTTTAACAGTGATTCTGTTATACTTTGGAGAATACTGTAAATGTCCTGGCCCGTTGGACTCAGGACTTCTGAATTTCTGGTGCCCTTTTTAAAACGTTAATTCTCTACCTTTTTTATCCATCTATTAATACACACATTCATAATTTTCTAATGATAGACGGAAAAAAATTTTTTTAAAAAATCAGAACATGAAAAGAATTACATATGAACAATGAAGGATTTTAATTAGAAATGGTTTATACCTGCATCAAAGAAAAGCAGTGATATAATATGACACTCATAATTATTTGAATTTTAGTTATAAACTTGCCGACATACTATTTAATTTTTCACCTCAGAAAATTATGCGGCCGCTGGGGCGTGTAACAACTTGTTTTTGCATCGTATTTTGCACGTTATAACGGAATCACTGTCTTAAGAAGTATAGTTAATGAAGAGTATTGTGTTTATGTATTATTAAGATGTATTCCTTTTATGTTTTTCCCCCTCGTGTGTAGATATTGATGTTTTACTAATTTTTAGAGATGTTCATTCCATTTTTTCCTCTTGTCTTGCAATCTTTTTTTGCTTTATTTTATTGAATTGTTTTTTAATTTTCCCCGTTGTGTGTTGTTCACGCTTTAGTTGCTTTTAAATGATTAACTGTTATTTTTTCTTTGAAAAAGGCACTAGCTTATAAAAGTATTTAATAACCTAAGATACCAATGTACTTAAAATATCTGTTGATTACTCGGTTTGCTTAGCTCCTGAATCATCATTTTCAGGGAAACCATGAGACGATACTAACTATGGACCCGAATAGGTGGCCTCCGTACAGCCAGCAACCGTATTCTCACCTGACCAGTGAATCACCGCACCTTCCACTATCTTCAACTCATGAAGATTCTTTAAATACCTATGGAACTAACAATTCTAACAGTATGCTCTTTTCAACTAGTCAAAACATGCAACCTCACTCTTCATCGAGATCATATTCTAGTGCTAACCATGGTCCAGCAATGTTGCCAAACTCACATTACGAACCACTCGCTAATCCTCATCCGTCTAAAGAAACTTCCAATTTCTATAATGAAAATATATTCAATGGTGTTTGCAGGGAAAATCAGTCTAGAATGCACCATTTTCCACGACATCGGAATGAAGAAAATGGGATGGCAGGGTCCGATGGTGCCAGTCGGTACTCGCATCCGACTCCTTCGCATTCGAACCTTGATCAACCCTCTCTGGGTCCTTTTGGTGAACTCCCTCACCAAACTATAAGACATCGGGTGAATCGTTTTGATCCAAACAATGAAACTTTTTTACCACCCGTTTCAAAGCAAGCTGCACCCTCGACATATAATAATGGACCTCATAATGACCGAGAAATGACTGTTTATTCATCTGCTCCATTGTCTGTGCAGTCGGCCTACTCGGGTGATACTTCTTCCCTATCCCCTGCTTTGAACTCTGTCAATTCACCGAGTGAATACTATTCCAGTCCACAAAATAATTATGGAGCTTATAGTTCTTTACAAAGCCCTGCGCCTAATAGCCCTTCTGTTACTCAACAGTCATACCCATCATCTCCATATGGTAACGTTGATCCCAATCTTACACTGCCGCCATGTTCCCCTATGAATGGGGGAAGTTATTCTGTTACTCGAAGAACTATTCAAAATCACCAGCATAGTCCCACTAGTAGTGCTGTTATGTGTTATAATTCTACATCACATGCACAATCCACTGTTCATCATGGATCACAGTCTATGGTTCTTAAAAATGAATATCCAACTGATTATAGTGGATATACTCAAGAAAGACATTCATCTTATTCATCAGTGTACCCATCAATGCACTCAGGCCAAGTCTCTGGGGGAAACAGTTCTAGAATACCCTCAAGGACTCATTCTTATTCAATGCCTCCCGACCGAAGATCCCGCTATGGGCAACCTTATCCATCGTCTCCAGCTGTTTCAAGTCCGCATTATATGCAAAATGATAGTCATGATGTGCCATATGGAACCTATTCCTCTAGCATTTCCCCTGTACAACCTATGCAACCATCTAGATACAGAAATTCTTCTGCCTTGAATTCATATAGAACTTATTCCCATCATCCTACTCTTGTGCCCGTTGTGTCAAATCACTATGAAAATTACAACTCTTATGGCTGTTCATCATCCAGTGTAGTTGATGACAGTAAGACTTCAGATATGTACAATTCACCCCTTGAACCTGGATCTAATGTTCAAGAACAGAATAACACTTTCTCCAATTATGACCTTGGTGTTTTAGATTCAGAAATTCTTCTTACCAGACAAACTAGGCAGCCTAAGGGTGATGAATGTCCATTAAAACAACCGGTTAAACTAGAGAGTGCAAACATGACTGTCAATCATCGTCAGTCGAGTGAATACGATGAACCTTTTCCTTCTTATGAGCCACTCAACATGAGGGGTCTGTTTCATTCCCCTAGAAGAAGGGGTCGAAGAGGCAGAGGTCGTAGAGGAGGAAGATTCCCACTAAGTCAAAGAAAATACGGCACCGGACGACGAGGTCGTCGGCCACGACTCGCACCCGTCTTCGACGACTACGAGTATGTCGAAGAGTCCTACCCTAGTCATGTATATATGGAACCAGAGTCTGTGGCACCCATGCGATTAGAATATAAGCAAGAAATAATTGATATGGAAGAATGCTACGAACCACCCTGTCCTCGAACCATTTTCGAGGACAGGATCGGGAGGCCACTCTCTATCGAAGAGGAATTGAACTTTCTGTTAAAACTTACTTTTAACCATACTAGTCGTAGGACAAGAAGTAATGTTCGAAAAGACACAGACTATCAAAAGAGATTCCTCACGTTTGCCAGAAAGAATTCATGTGATAATTACTCATTTAATCCTAGTTCCTCTGAGCTTAATATCAAAGAAGAGCGCAAAGAGCGAGATAGAATACATTTAAAAATTTCTAAGCGCGGTCGTGAAGGAGGTTGGTGGGAGTGCAAAGATATGAGTGAAAGTGCCTCTGGATATTCCATATTGTCTAGTCATCAAATCAAAAGAGAATATGATTCTAGGGAGAAAAGCAAACATACAGGTAAATTAAGTAATTTTTCAGAAATGTATTCAAAGCATAGTGCCGAGAGAAAAAATGATTATGTTGATCATGATAAATATGGTGACTATGAAGAACAAAGTCACACTCTCACTAATTATCACACTCTTCCGGCAGGCAAACTGAAAATAAAGGCGGATGAAAATGAACAAGAATTGTTGACCCCCAACATTCCAAAGAAGCGTGGAAGAAAGGCTAAAACGCCTGTAACTACCGATCCACCTGAATCGAGTAAAAATGAAGACCTTGAATCAGAGTCGGTAAAAAATTCTGATTTATCTCCTATTGTAAAAGAAGAGGTGGCAGCACCTTTAGCTGAAAACGATCAGATTGACAACTCTAAACTTGAGGGTGATAGACTGTCATCTTTGAGACGTAGGAAAGGTGAAAATTTAGTTATAGATCCAGAACCTGGTAAGTTTTTTTTTATTTCTAACCAGTTGTGTCTTAGAATATAATTTTTTTTTCTGTAATTTTTTAATTACGGTCAAACCTCCACTATAATGAGCCTGCGATAGTGTGAAAACTCTGTTCTAATGTGATACTTCTTTAGTGGTACCTTCAGCACTCTGATATAACTAACATTGATTTATACGCTGAGAGCTGAGAAATTGGTTGTTTGTTTAAAGTGGATTCTTTAATTTCATTTTCTCAGTTTTTTTTTTCTTTTGCACATTTTTCTAACTTTAAATTTACAGGAGTTGAAAGACTACTACAGTCAAACCTCCACTATATTGAATCTGGGATATTGTAAAAACTCTGTTATAACGAACTTCTTTATTAGTCCCTTCTGCACTCCGATATAACTTACATTAATTTATACACTTATAACGGACAGCTGAAAAATTTGTAGTTCGTTTAAAGTGGACTCTAATTTCATTTTCTCAGGGTTTTTTTTAATTTGTCTAACTTGAAATTTGCATTACTTTAAGGACCAGAAAATACTGGTTTCTTTACTAATTGATGATATGAAAATTGGTTAACTTTACTTAAAATCGAATTGTAGTCAGTTGATTTCTTCCATAAAATGTGAAAATTAACTGATTATTTTTTTTAACTTAAAGGAAGCTATTTTCATTAAAAATATTTGTATTTTATTTTAGAACATTGTATTTTCGTGCTTATATTTTTCCTTTTTTTCTTTTTCTTTTTCACAGGAATACATGAAGGTAAAACTTATTTCGAATTTAAAGCTTTTCAGCTTTTTATTTATTTTATCAAGAAAGTTTTAGAAAATAGCTTTAAGTGATATTTTAAAACATCAGCTTTATAATTTCTAGAAACATCATCATCTAAAACTTTTTTTTATTGAAAACCTGTGTAATTAAAATCTTTAGTATTAAGAACTAACGATTTTTACTTCCAACTACAATACGTATTTAAAAATTGTCTTTTTAAACTTCTCAATTTTTTTTTCACTTTGCTTTTTTAAAAAAGTGGAGTCAGTGTATTTAACTTATAGTATTAGTATTATTTAGCCTATTGCTTTCCATTTCATTTATTTATTAAATTTTTCATCTTTTTATCATTTGTATTAATCTTTTTATCATTTTATATTTTAGGGCCCTCACAGAGAATAGACATTGCCGAATTTGAAGATGAATTATTTGATGATAATTTAGATGATTTTAATTTAGATGATTCAGACTCCGATCCGACATGGACTGGATCAGTTTCAAAAGTACGACCTAAAAATATGCAGAATCTGCATGTTATTTTAATACTGCTATATTTTATTGCTTATTGTGTACATGACGCTACATCAATATATCAAAACTAAAATTGTATTTGACTGGTTAGACTGTTAAAACTATTTTTTGTTAAAATATTTTATGTTTCATTATTATCAGAAATGTGTGAACAAAAATTCTCATAATAAAACCTGAATTCTGACCTTAATTGCAAGCCCTTGCAAAAACCTTCCAGCAAGGCAGCAGATGCTGCGAATTATCACAACTTCTACAAATTATTTTCCACCTGAAGTTTTTTTCTTTCTTTCTTTTCTTTTTTTAAGTTGCTAGAAAAAAAAGGGTATAAGTAAAACAAGTTCACTCTTCATTTTTAAAAAAAAATAATAATTTTCCTTTTTTTTTTAAAAAAAAAATATTTGGTTCTTGTTTTATTTTTATTTATATGCAAAGTAATGAATTCTTATGTAGAAACCTTGAATAGGCACAAGTCAAAACATTATGAATTGCAATTATGCTTATTTCATTCTTAGNAAAAAAAATTTATGGCATAAAAAAAAATTTTTTTTTGGTTCTTGTTTTATTTTTATTTATATGCAAAGTAATGAATTCTTATGTAGAAACCTTGAATAGGCACAAGTCAAAACATTATGAATTGCAATTATGCTTATTTCATTCTTTTAAAAGAAAAGATTTTAATTAAGTGTAATTGAGTAAAATTCAAATTAAATTTAAACAACTTAAAGTTTTTTGTATAATTTTATTATATTTAGTATTTTTCAATTGTACTAAATATATGTTAGATTAAGCTTAATTTTTGCCCTAATAATATCTGACTAACTGCATTAAAGCCACAGACAAATTTGAATTTTTTAAAGAGAGTGTTGCAAATTAACTCTGTAAATTTTTATTGTAGATTAATTTTAGAATTGTAGAATAGGACTGTTGTGGACTGTTTTTTAATTGTAGATTGTAACAATGAAGTTATCGTTTTTAAATTTATGATTTAATCTTTCTTTGTTTTTGAAAATTTTAATTTATTGCATTTGTTTTAAAAGTGTCATTTTATTTCATAACAGAATGCAGATCCTCTTTTAAAACGAGATGTTACAAAGCAAGCTCCCCCTGTTCCTTCAAGTGGTAAAAAACGAGGTCCCAAACCTGGTCATAAGCTTTCCATCAAGAATAGTCATTCAAGTGTCTCTCCACCCCCTAAGAAGAAAAAGAGTGTTGATTATAGAAAGAAAGATGACGAGAGGGTCGTTCCATCAATCACTATTGTCAGAGCTAAACCATCAATAAAAAAGGAAAAAGTCAAAAGAGAACCGCCAAAAATTGACTTGCCAAAAAAAGAAAAGAAAAAGAAGGAACCTTCGAGCAAAAAATTAAAAAAGGAGAAATTACCACCTCCTCTGGTAAGTTCGGTTTAAAGCAATCACTTTTTTAATTGGCTAACTGTAATAAGTAATTTTGTTTTTACCTGAAACCTTGTCTAACAGATCAACAATTATATAAATCTCCTCATTTATAGATAAAAATCAGGGTTTAAATTTCAGTAAATCTAGAATTTTCAAGAACTTTGATACTATCATGAAAGTCAGAGAATAATATGGAATTATTTTTTTCTTTTTGCCCTAACCTGGTGGATGTATGATTATTCTAACTATATGGTTAAAGAATTTTGAAATCCATTATAATTTTTCCTTTTAAAAAACTCAAAAGTCTGAATCGTTGGCCTTTACTCTTAAATTTTTATACCATACCTTCATTTGGTCCTATTTTGCTTCAAACGAAATCTAACATTTTACATAATAAATAAAATAAAATTTTGTGCCGAAAAATTACTATATATAGCTAACATCTTGTCTGATACTTTTTTATTATATTATTTTTTGAAAAAACCAGGAATAATCGAGAAATTTTATCTCTGATATTAAGTGAGGACCCTTGTTTTGTTTCATTATGCACTAATCTTTGCTTAATGTTATCACAGTTAATGTTATCAATCACTTAATATTATCAAACAAAATCGCATGATCTGAAACTTTACTATTTACTTGGCATGTTAAAATTATCGCTTTCTGTGGTCATTACATTGTTTAGTGTTATAAGTGTCTTTATTTATTTTTTTGAAAATCATCTTAACTAAGGAAGTATTCATTTTGTTTTCAGAAAGAGCTTAATATTTTCGTTCTGTGCGTTTTTAAATATCTCTAGCTTCTTCATTAATAGAATATGAAGTTAGCGATATTGTTATGTGGAAATCGACAAATTATGGAACAGGCGAGTCAAATAAAGACTTTAAGCCACCCTTTATAAATAAGGAATGCAATGAAAATGTTAGATGGTGGAATATAATCACATTCTAATGAGTTTAAAAAATATGGTAGGATCCTATTTTCCCACATTAGTTTTCACATTTGTTTGGTTGTCATCAGCATGAAATTCGTATAAGTCAGAAAGGTATTGTTTTCCTTAAAATATTTTTGTATCCCAAATTTAGAGGTATTTACCAGTACTGTTAAGACTAACTGTACTAAATTAAGAGTTTAAGAGAATTATTTTTTTATTATTCTTGTAACTTAACTCTTATGTTACATTTTTAAGATAAAGTTATTTGAATCGGTGTCTGATCTTATCAACACGTTTTACAATTATTATTTTTGGTGTAAATTACATTAATATACTATTATGAGATAAAGATATTCTTTCAATGATTTAGAACTTAACTTTCAACTTCTTGCATAAAGTTATGAATGCAAAAATTGTATTTAAAACACATCCATTTGTTAAGTGAGCAAAAATATTAAATTTAAGTTGTGAACTCACCAAGTTACAATATACTTATAATTTTAAATGATTTATGTTTACTAATAGATCTTAATAGTATCATAAGAGAGCTATTTGGACGTGGAAACTGGTGCTCCTTTTAGTGCATATATTTTTAGTTTAATAAATTCAACTGTTTTATGCCAAGAAACAGCAATTATTACAAAGCAATCATCGAGGGCACCTCAGTGAGCAGCGGGCGTAGAAATTGAATAAGAAAACTGTTGAAGTATAACACTTTAACTGATTTTTTATAGACACCAAAATAATTAACTTATGACTATATTTTTCAAAAATTATAAAAAATATTTTCTGCTCATATATCACTAAAAAAAACTTTTTCAGGACCATTTCCTAATTGCCAAATCAGATTTAGACCATGCTACACCATACATTTGGAAGATAGACAAAAAGACTCATATGTTACAGCGGTTTGAAGTGGCAGAGCAAAATGGAGTGCTAATATATCAAAGCTCTCTTACTGTAAGTCCATTTATTTAACTGCATTTCATATACTGCCGGAAAATTTTTGATAAAATTTATCATGATGTATTATGTTACTGTAAGTTCAGTTTTATCTTAACCAAATATATTTTTTAAAACTATTGTACAGTGTCCTGCAAAAAAAGACTTGGACTTAGTTATTGCATCATAGAATAGAAACTTGCTGAATTTTTTTTAATTTATGTGTTCATTTCTTTTAGTTTTCCACTTGAATTTTAAAATATATCTCTTAGTTAACATACATTTTTTTTTTTAATGTCAAGCTAAACATCTGAAAATCTGCTATACTAGAAGTGTTTAAGCTAGTGTGAAATTGTTTGTTAGCTCTATGTACAATTGTTATACAGTACGCCAAAAATATCGGACCACCCTGGATAACTTTTGATCAAATTATAGGATTTTCACGTTTTAGGAATTCTTCTCGGGGGAATAACCTTAAATAAGCTGATTAATTTGTGCAGACGATATTCTAAGTTACGAAATTAGACTCAAAAGCTTACATTTTCTGAATAAACATACCTTTTTTTTCCGACGAATTCGGATTTCTGACCCCAAAATATAGGGTTAGCCGTAATCTGTGAAATAGGGTCCCAATAGTTTGGTCTGGAGAGCACTCTAAAGTTTTGAACCCTTAATGTTAATATTATTTTTTGCTTATTTCGCTGCTGCTCCAGACTTTTTTAACTGAATTGAAACATTTTTGCACACAATTATAAAATTCGTGTATCAAAAGATAATCCAATACAAAATAAAATACATTTTAAAAAATATTTATTATTTTATATGTTATACATCTTCTCCCTCCTAAAAAAAAATTCGATAACTCTCATTTTTCAGTGTAAAAGAATAATAACTTCAGTTTCTGCGACATGATTTTGAATGTTATGCATTCTTTGTAATTTTTCATTTCACTTTAATGAATTTTTTTATACTTTTAACTATCAATATAATGCTTTACTTTTTGCAAATATGTAACGTTAAACATTTTTGAAAACGTAATGATAAACTTTTAATTTATATCAAGCTTAATTTGCAATTTCAGTTTACAAAAATTAAAAAATATTGTATTTTAAACTTAATGTGTCTCGTAAATTTTTAAGTTACCTTTTCCTTTTTGAATCTAATAACGGATCGGTGAAAATGTGTACAGATCTTTTGTCCAGTGACTATTTTTTCTTATTTTATACCTTTGATTGTCAATGTGTTTCCAGAATTTTTATAATTGCCTAGAACTTCAAATTTCTACTAAAAAATTTGCATTCATTTTAATAGCTTTTTATATTGTTTACTTTCTTCTTGTCTAGTATGCAGCTTGGAATGAGTATTCCTGGTCTCATTATGTGTCAGCTAAAGTGGAAATCATATCTCGCACATCTGTCTTATATGTTGTCAAGTTCCTGGGTCCTGACCTCTCCCTCCCTGTTGAAAGGTAAGAATATTTTAACACCCTTTTAACCGAATTTCACTTAGGGTATGTTGAAATTACAGCCACCCTGTGTTAATAAAAATAAGGAATGTGGGGTTAACTGTCTGTATCGCATAGGTTCTGGTTGGGAGAGATATGTCATTTTTGCAAGAAATGATTTTACTCTTGTTACTATGGCAGCAGACAACCTCCAACTTTCTGTTGAAAAGAGATCTTGTAATATCTCTATATGTACTGGTACAATCAAATTTACTCTACTCTGAGTAGTTAGTAGCAATATAATATTTTATTATTTTTCAAAAGCTAAAAAAATTCTTTTCTTAAGTTAAGAATTCAATATTTACCTATATTTATACTCTTCAAACTACATAATTGCTATTAATCTCTAAATTTAGTAGAGTAATTTTTGTGCTGAGTAACGTAAATGTTTCATTTTTTGTTATAAGTATATTTTATAAATAGTTTTAATAAGAAATATTGAATTCATCAAATTTGATATATTTATATGTCATGAACAGGGTTGGGATTTTGTTTGGAGGAACCTTATTTCTCCTAGGACTCTGAAAATAAAACTAGAGGAAACAAAAGGAAGGAAGACCAATATGATTGTTTAGCAGTAGCTATTATAAGAATAATTCAATTTCACAGAGGTGATTATATTCCCAGTGTACCCCAAAATTTCGGATTTTTCATATCATCCCTACAGGTCTAGAAGAACTAGGAACAGGGCATATGATTTTTTTTTTTTTTTTTTTTTTTTTTTTTTTTTTTTNTTTTTTTTTTTTGAGGAATTCTGCTCATGAATATTTTAATATTTGAAACTATGCCAAAATACACTAATATCCCAATTCATATTCTTGCAATTTTAATATCTAACATGGTTGATTTTTGTATTTACTGATTTTTGTATTTACCTGATTATATCACGTAATTACCTGATTTTATTGCCTGTGTATTTACCTGATTTATGCTATTATATCGACAAAAAGAAGTATAGATATAATCATCTGAGCTGATAAAAAGATTATATCTTTTCATTATTTATTATTACATTATTATTTTGTTTCCATCTTTTTAATATTTCTTTTCGAAATAAATTCCTTTTTTTTTTCTTTTTTTTAATATTTTTAAAAATATTTTATTTTTAATATTCTTTTTTCAATCTTTATTATTTTTCATGTTTTCTCTATATTTTAAAGTTATTTTATGAGTTCTATAATACTTGCAACTTATGTACAGTAAATAAAACTTATTAATTTTCAATTTCTTCATTTTTCTTTTTATCCTTTTTGTCTTTATTGTTCTTTATATATATAACTTATTTCAATAATATTTTTTTAGTACTTTCCATTCTTCTGCAATTAAGAAATCTGAAATTGCACCAAAGGAACCCGAGTACGTCATCGAGGATGATTCTTCTGTGGGAGAAAGTTGTGAGCCGAAAGAAGAAGAAAATTTTGACCACCTAAAAGAAAGTTTTGACATCTTCCTACAGAGTTTAATTAGTCAAGCTGTCGATTCTAGCTTTTTATCAGAAATTCATCGAGAAAAAGGTATGTGTTTACGTCAGTGTAATTCAGAATAACTCCTAAGTTTTGAAGGAGAAATTAATCATCCCAGATTCAAAGTTTTGGAAAGAGTATAAAAATATTTCCAGAAAGTAAAATTGTCAATATTATCAATTTTGAAAAATATAATTCTTAAGTTTTATTTGCTAGTTTGTTAGTTAGTTTATTAGCATACTTTATAAATTTTTTAAATATTGTAAGAAGGAGGGGAAAATTCAAATGTTTTTTTTTTTTTTCGATAGCTGTTTTTCTTGAAATTTTTCACCTAATGTGATTTATGCCACTAACCCAACAAGCATATTATATTCTACTAGAAAAAAGTTTTGACTGAGTACTGTGTTATATCTTTGTGAAATCTTCATTTTCACCCCATGTTATAAAATTTTATCTGCTTAAACTGTAAACAAATTTTCAAATTTCTCAAAATTTTTTTGAATATTGCTATTTGTTTCCATACCAAAATGAATCCAGCTGTGGTAAGTAGGAAAAAATTTAAAGCTTAGCTGAATATTGAGACTGAACATTATAAAGGTTAGTGTGCCATTTTTTTTCATGCTGGAATTCAACTGACCTATTAATATAAAACACAAGAGAGTTACAATTCAGACAATTAGAAGATAGTCGAATATTTTCAAAATTGCTGCTATGCAGAAAGTAACTGCTAATAATTTCAACATATGTTTTAAAAAAAATGCAATAGCTATTAGGTTAACTTTAAGATTAATATGCATTTCTTTTGTTTTGTGTCATATTTTACTTCAATACTTATCTTTTGAAAACTCATAACCTGCTTGATGATATACTATGCAAAAAATTATCAAACTAATGATTAATAACTAAAATAATGATCTAATGAATTTTTTTTTTGTCTTTTCCTCCCCCCATAGATGAGTATTTCTTAAATAGCATCAAGGACATAGAATCAGTCACAGATTCTAAAAAGTCCAAGATGGCGAGAGACTATTGGGAGGAAGAATTGAAATCAAGTGCAACTACTTATCCTTGTATCAATGTTCTGGACAGTGTCATGGAACAAGAACATTGCCAAGTATTTATATACTTAATTAACTTTTTTTTTTTAAAAAAAAAAAGAATATTTATTATTGATACAAGATTTCAGAAATGACCTCAGTAGATACGGGGTGCATAATTTTATTAGCATATCCATCTTTCATAGAAAAGTCTTACAAAACTTGTTAAATTTTTCTGGACATTAAGATGGTACCAGGTGCTATTTGTAGACTCTGAGAAGCTTTTTAACGTTTTAACATTGCCGCAATCAGTCGGCTCAATAAAATCCATTTTGCAATTCTGTTGAAGCAAATTTTTGTCCAATTTCGAAGTGGGTTCTGTTAGCAGGACTTTTTTCTATTTATTTTTTAGTTTCAATAATCATCGCAATTGCTGTGCTATTACGTTTTTCTCCTTATGAGGAATTTTTAATCCTTGGGATTAAGTTTTTCTTACAAAGGGAAAATATTAATGTAGGGAAATTGACTGTTATTAATAATTGTCGTTTATTGTTGAAGAATCAGAATGATGTGAGAGCCATCGCCTAGTTTACCCTACACTGATGTTTGTTTAAGTTTTCTGATTAGTCCCTGTAAAGTGGTGCCGTTGTCAAAAGTCGGCTGAATAGCAGTGGGGATATTTGTTTTTGTGTGTGTGTTTTATGTGTAGCCTGTTTTGTTTTCATTATTCATGCAATATTGTCTTGTTGGACCTCTTGAGACATTTGAAAATTTCAAGTTTCATTGTATTGATTTCCTGAAAAAAATATTTTGACCTCAATTTTCCTTTCTTTTTTTTTTTTTTTTTTTTTTTTTTTTTTTTTTTTTTTTTTTTTTTTTTTTTNTTTTTTTTTGTCTTTATATTCTTGATTTTTGTGTGTTCAGAACATTTCGTTTTCTAGGATTAAAAATGTGGATTAACTTGTGGTGTTGTAAGGTTTTGTTTTCCAATCCTACATCTTTTTATTTTAATAATAATTGTAATAGTCGAAAAATTCATTATTTCTAAAGTGGGTACTGCCCACCAATTTCGTAGTTCAGCATGTACCTGCAAGATTTGTTTCAAACTTTTTGGATATTCAGTCATTTCATGAAAAAGGAACTCAATTATCAATTTTTTATTTTCAGCAAATGCTTTAAATAACTCTTGTTGGTTAGAGTTTTGTAAACTTCACTATTATTGATTAGTCACTTATCAATAATATTCATTGAACTAATCGATGAACTTATTATTGATTAGTTCACTATTATTCTAGAAAGGGTTGATTTCAATCAACAATACAGTAATCATGTCATTTAATTTTTAATTAAGAAATCATCCATTAAATTACTTATGTACAAAAATGTTTCGTAGTATATTCATATTGTTTTTTTTTCTCGATTATTGAAATTCTATTATAGTAAGGTTTCAATAATCTTTAATGAAAACATTTTTTTTTAAATAGGTGTTAGCCAGCTTTATTTATCTGAACTATTTCTAATGGATAACTTATAGTTTATTTTTTCCCTATACTAATAACGTAGCTAAGTTTTCATTATCTACCACTAATGATTAAACTTATTTATTAAAAAAAGATAATATTTATTAATGTTTCTTTTTTTTAAATGTTGCTATCCGACTGCTTAATATTCGATATTTGGCTAAATCACTATTTGTTACATCTCTACTGAGAACTGATTAAAACTTTCCGTTCTAAACAAAGTAATTCTGAAGGAAGAGATACTATATTTTATTATTCTTTAGCAATAAAATTAATTTGCCTTTATAATCTATAGCAAGCTATGTAATTTATTTTAGTTTCTCTATTATCCTTTTTAAAAGTCAAAAAAAATGTCCCTGTTCTACAAATCCTGACTTTTAAATTGTGAAGTAAAACAAGTTTTTATTATGAATAATCATTATTTTCTTTTATTTTTTAGGTGTGCAAGAAGAGGAAAGGAATAAAATTATTGCAATTTTATGGACAACTGTATGATTCTGACACCCTGTGTTCGATCATCCAGCGATCATCAACTAATAAAACACAATTCTTTGTTTGTTCTAAATGTGCCACTTCTGTTTCACTCTATAACCGTCTTCACCATCAGAAATATAATTTCTTCATCAAATGTAGGACAAAGGTTAGTTCTTCATACAATTGAGTGTTTTATTGAATATCAATCATTTTTTGGGTGATTTGAATGGGTTCCTACTGGTAAGTGTCTAAAATTGTTCTGAATTCTTCTAAAACATACAGTTCTGAGAAAACTGAAAAGTCCAAATGTGCATTCGCTGTTTATGTATTGCATAGAAAAAAAATAGCTGACTGTATTTGTTACCAATGTTTAATTTTTCAAAATTTATTAAATGAAAACAAAAAAAAATTGCTCATTTCATATCAGTTAAAATCCTCATATACCTTGTATTCTTAAGATTATAACATATGCAGACATGCAATATTTTAGTAGTATTTTTGCTGAAATCAGTGGCTCTTTAAGAAAAAAAAATTCACTGAAAATGGTTAAAACTTGTTGGGAAACTCTTTAATATCTTAACATATGCTGACCGATCTGCATCACAGATCTAGTTTTATACTTATGTTTAAAAATTAATTGTGAGATAGTGATAACAAATTTATTTTCGCTATTTTCTGGTAGCATGAAAAAACTGGTTGCAAAATTTCTTCATCTATAATCAGTTTTCAGCAAATTAAAATTGTAAAATATTAAGATAGAAAATAACTCTCGTTTAGTCCTGTACTGATTTTGCTTTTAATATTGAAATGATTACTGTAATGATGTCTATCAAATTAACTAAATTACAAATTTGGTACCACTTTTTTTCTGTTTTTGTGGCTTATTCCTCTCTCATAAGAATGCCTTTAATTTGTCTTCCATATACAGCATATACAGCAAAAAGTTAAATTATAAATATTTGAAGACAACTTATGTGTATCAGTAAAAGCTTTATGTAATGAGTACTGCATATAAAAATCTATCTATCTGCTATTGTGACAACTGTCCAACTCACCACCAAATTATTAATATTAATAATTTAAAAATAGTATGATTATGACAAATTAAAAAGGGCTTGCCAGTTGCACTGTGGTCAGCACTTATAATGGGAATCTGGTTAAAAAAACAAACATAATAACCTTACATAAGGCTATTTTTGTAAGGTTTTAGTATCTGCTCTTTATGAGAAGATATACTTTACTTTTCCATCTTAATTAAAGAGACATTAGTATGCTCTTGAAATATTTTGAATGCTCCCCATTTATGTATCAAGTTACTTTATCTTTATTTGGAAGTCTCTGTAGTTTTGTAATTATGAACCCAGTCGAACTTCTGGATCAAGTATTGAGAAAAATTGCCTTCTTTGAGAGTTTTTCGATAAAATTAACCTGCATTCACGTTACATGGAGAGGAAAACCACAAATACCTCCCACTTTTAGTCTGATGGCAAGGGGGCTATGATCTGTTTACTGCTGAGGATATTTTACTATCTCGCGGTGTGAGCCAGGTGCAGAATTCCATCGGTGGGATTCGAACCTGGGACATCTCACTGGAAGGAGAGTTTTACTTTATCCCCGAGCGCTATATGTCTCTAGTACAGTAAAAAAAAAATTTTAAAAAGAAAATCACCTTTGAAAAAAGCGGGCTTTTTCAAGTGGGCTCACCTTGAAAAAAAAAAAAATGGGCATGTATTTTGGGGGGCTAAGCCCATTTCAGTGGAAGAAAAGCCTGGCAAAAAATTTTGACAATTTGTTGTTACATAAAACAAATAGGTGATATTTGGAGAGAGAAAATTTATCTTATTCAAAAATTAAATAAAAAGTGATAAATATATCTGTTTAATCTTTTTGTCTTTTTTATTGCTATTTTAGCATGAAATGTGTGCATTTGCTTAAAATAACAAGCATGCTATCACACCAAATTCATTTGACACTGGGAATTGGCATTATAACGGAACTTATTAAATTTGCTTTTATAAAAAATTCATTGTAATTTTAAACTTTGTAAATTGCATTGTGTGAAGCAGCTAAAATACTTGATATTGATATTTTTTAATTGCTTATATTTTGTATACTAATTGATACTCTCCTTGCTTTGTCTGTTATAATTAATATCTATTAACTGTTGTAATGTATGTACTATTATAACATACTATTAACTTTTATTTTTGATCCTTTGTCTGTTGAGAATTATACTTCAATGTCAGATTAATTTGACAATGTGTAATAGCAAGGCATATGTTAATTGGTTGTTTATGGGCAATCTTGGTCTAATCAAATGTGTTATTCTCATCTGTTAAAACTAAAAAGATCAACTGTAGTAGATCTATTAAAAGTCTTCTGTTAAAGTTATCTATTAAAAGTATTCTACTGAAACAAAAAAATAGGCCTTTAAAGGCCAATGATTGGCACAATAATTATCAAGTTTAATGATAAATATGTTACTTGTTTTTTTTTAATTATTTTAACTGGACTTACATTTTTATTATAATAAAAATAATTTTTTTTTTTTGAAGAATCAAACCAAAATTCTCTTTATCTTAATTAATTATTCAGAATTCTCAAAATTTAAGAATGATATTAAGATGTATATTTAATTTTAGATATTTAGAAATGTTTTAAATAAAAGAATTTAAACAAAAAATTTACATTATGCTGTTTTATTGTATTACAGGAAATAATAAAAAAACATACCAGATATTTAGTTGAAGGAGAAATTTTATCCTTGTTCTTTTTAAGAACATGTTGCAAACAAAAGATTTTAAAGGAAATAGAATGAACAACTTTTGAAAGTAAACATACTCTTTTACAGAATTTTATTTACAAAAATTTTAAAAGAAAAAGCACACTGACAGATCATAGTTTAAAAACCTGGATGAACTCTTGATCCGACGATTCTGATATAATTATCAGGATGAACAATAGATAATGCTGTGTGATATTCTTTAAAAATATTTTTAAATTTATCATTCTTCTTGTAATGGGTTTGTTATATGTTACAATATATTATACTTATTGTTTTTATTTTATCAAGTTACTTTTAGAGTTGAAAAATATTTTTAAGATTTCATCTCTTAAATACCCCGAACTGTGACTTTGAAGAGTAGTGTTTGCTTAAATATTTTATTCTTAATTTGAAGGTTATATTTATTATGAATTAAATCTTATTTTATTGGTTCTCTTCTACAGATGAATGAAGTTAGAGGTAACAGAGAAAAACTAGAATCTCACACTTTATTGGGTGATTGTTTAGAAGATCATGTATGGGTTAATTCAGTGAGTATTTTTTTAATTCATCTTTATATTTATTTGAATCATATTTTAAGAAGAAGAAAAATAAAAACAAGCCTTAGTATGTTCAATCATAAAATAACTTTCAGAAATTTCTGTAACTTAGTGTAAGAGAATTTTTTTAAACTTTAAATAATAAAACTACAGCCTAAAAAAGGAAATAAATATCTTTAAAGAATAAATAAGCTATTAAATCATTTTTTAGGGATGCTATAATTAAACATTTTTTTTATGTCTGTTGGTAAAATTTGTATTTGGCAATTTAAAAGAAATCTTTTTTTTTCTTCTGTTAGAAGCATGTTCCTCTCATTTTATGAGGATACAAATTATTTTTAGAACTTACCTTGCATTTTTCAGTGTCTCTTTTAGCATATTTTCTACATTAACTTCTGCATTATTGAAAACTTAAGTTTTCATTGTTTGATTACTGATCTGTCCGACAATTTTTAATTCCTTCCTTCTTGGACATTCTATTCATTTTTCAAAAATAAATAAATATTATCAAACCAGTTAGTTTAGTGAAAACGTTATGTCATCTGCTATTGGCGAATCTGTCTTATCTGATTTGCAGGAAACCCCTAGTTAAAACAAACTTTTGTAAAATTTGTCATATTACCTGATATCTATAATAATAGAAAGAGTTTGTGTGTATTCCTGTTATAACTTGTGTTTAGTTCTGAAATTTGAGCAGCAGATAAAAAGGGAGCGTAATCCCCGTTTTTTGAAAGTCGCTCAAAAATTTCAATTAGATGGTTCATGAGAAACATTTGAAAAATGAATTTTTCTCATTGGTTTTTTAGCATGAGCTATCATTTTAAATTAAACAATAGACCATTCTGTTTTTAAAATATTTTAAAAGCAAGATCAGTGTAGTGTACTAGCTTATAGCTATTTAATAAGAAAAGGAGTTTAATGAATGCTATTTAATATTTATTTTAATTCATCATATCCAGGGTATCCACGCATCTGGAAAGTAATGGATTTTGGTTTTGAACAAAATGTGTCCTGATTTTAACTGTTTTGTTTTTGTTTGTTTTTTTAAATCATGGAAAGTCCATAGTCGCCGAAAAATCTAATTTTTTAAATGGAATTCCCCCTCTCTCTCTCCCAATTTCACAGTGTTTCGAATATCTGAATTTGTAGCAAAATCCCCCCTCATAATTAATATTTTATTAATGTTTTTAACCTGTTCTTTAAAAATTATGGTACTCTTTCAAAAAATGAAAGAAAGAACATCATTTCTAGAGCGAATTATCTTTTAAACTTCTGTGATTTCCGAATTTTTTATGATTTATTTTTTTGTATTATCAATTTAAAATTTTAGTTTAGGCTTTTTATATTACACTAAGAAGAAATAAAACAGCTTTAAATAACTACATATATCTAACAGTGTTTAGTTATTTGCTATTTTTTCCCAGCTATTTTATTGCTTCAACTCTTTCTTACTCTATTTAAAATCAATAAATATGAAAATGCAGAGTATAACAGTTTTGGTTATACCTATTATTTCAATTAATGCTATTATAATATTTTTTTAAATTTGTTGTGTTTTTGTAGAGAAAATAGTAAATTCGGTAATAATAGTAAATTCGGTAATAAAAATTCTTGGAATTATTCATGAAAAGTCATGAATTTGAACATCTAAAGTGGAGCAGATACCATATCACATAAATTCAATGATTAACATGAATATGGTAGAATATGCTGTCTCCAAATTAGTATTTCTGAAGTTATTTGAAGTCCTGTTTTTATTTTATTTGTAGTCTAGTTTAGCTTTTGAAACTTGTTCTTAGTCAATCCAAATACTAATTTAAATTTGGCAGTAATTAAATTAAAAATAAAAACAATTCTGTAATAAGAGGCATAATTGGTTCAGATAGTGAAAAGGTATTTTATTCATTTAGGTAACCGACAGTGCATAGTTAATTTTGGTAAAGCAATACTCATTAGCAAAAGATGTTGTTTTGATACACACCCAAATGTACAAACAAAAGTATTTAATTTTGGTACCAAGAATAGGCCTCTTGAAGTGCCGTAAAATATTTCTTTATTATTGTAAATATTATATCTTGATTATTGTATCTATTGGACTGAATTTTGAGAAAATGAGCCCCTAAATATATATTTTTATTTTATCTAATAACATATAGCCACTGGAAAGATAATAAATTTTTAAAAAATTGAATTATTTTAGCTTTAATGATTATTTTGTCATATGCCTTACAGTTTTGTTCATGATTTCTTAGTGCTAATAAATACTGCTTTGGTGATTATTTACTTTTCTCTCTTTCTAAGAATTGGTATTTAGCTAGTTAGAAGATAATGTTGATAAAAATTGTAATTTATGCATCTGAAAATATTTTTCTTTTTCTCATTCTAGCTTTTCGATGAGTTGGTTCAACTTTGGCGTGAAAGTGAGAGAAGCAGCTGACATAAAATGGAAAAAGCCCACACCTCAGCCTGAACACTTCAGCTGTCTTGTGGTCTATAATTATACAGTCTCTATTCCACCAAAATAACTACATCCAAGCATTTCATTGAAGACATGTTTTTTGCATTTATTCAAAATACACTCCACATTTTTCATTCTTTTTTTTTTCTTATCGACAGCTACTTGACAAAACTCTCCACAGGTGATTGCTCTACAACTATTGCTGTTTAGGAGGCATCATGTTTTTCATTTGATCTGTACATTACCCCATCGTCGTCTAATCTTATGTGTCCTCAGGTGCTGTGGATTTTCATAAAAACATCAATGTTTCATAATTTGTTGTTTTCTTCCAATTCTTAGAGCAGAACATATGTTGAATCGTATAGTCTTGCTAACACAAGGTGAACTCTCAATCAGGAGGTTCATCTCATGTTGGCCAGACTGTACATGCTTTCATTTTATTGTTTACATGCATTCTTTGCTGGAAAGAATCATTACCAATAACTTATTTTTTTTTTTTATGAACTTTGTTAAATGATGGATGATAATTTTGATATTTAGTGAATCTATGTACAGTAACGGAGACAAATTTACTATATGTGTGTACATACATGAAAAATTTTAAGATGCCAAAAATGAAAGGCATAAAAGTGATTCTGTTTTTATTTTATTTTTTCTTTTTGTTTCAAAGTGTTTTAATTGTTAAAAAGATTTTATTAAAATATTATCTGTATAAAGGATTTGCATTCTTTCATTTTGTGTGGCAATGCTTATTTTTCTAGTTTACTTAATTTTTTTACATACTTTAACCAATTTTACTTTTACCAGGGGTAATTGTATTTTGAGTATACCTCAGAATTCCAGGGTTTTAGCATCATCCTTCCAGGTCTTAATATTAAAACCATTATCCATTATATATATATNAATTTATGGAACCATTAATAAAAATGACACATGGAGAAATATATATATATATATATATATAACCATTACATTTATACATACATATATGTAAATATAGGGGTGAGCATAATAATAGAAGCACTTCTATGTACTAATACAATTTTTCATATTCCTCTAGAAATACTTAAAGAATCATCTTTTAACTTTAACAGTGTTTAAATTATGCGGTTTCTCATAATTATCAATGCAATTTCAATCTTTTATAGCAGCAGTGTTCCTCAACCTTATTATCACCTCGGACCTGTCAACGTTTGGTAATTTTACCGCAGCCCGCATGGGGGGGGGTCGTTGATTGTTTATATTTTAGATTATTTTTTATTGGTTAATTTTTATTTAATTGTATTTAAACATGCCTTCAAAACAAAATAGTTACACCAAAAAATAAATATGAAGTGATTTAACATTTTAACTTACTAGAACGTTAAATCAATGAGAACCCTGAGCTTGTTTCTTTGCAATGAGACTATTCCATCTGGGGGTAACTGGAGACAATGATACATTGCAAACATTAAAAAATTTATGTCAACTACCTTCGGGGGCCCCTTTTTTTAAATAAATAGAATTTTAATGGAACACAGATATTTTTGATTTGGGGTATAAACCTAGGAATTTAAATTCAGTTTCAATGAAATGGGCTGCCTGGTACCATTTCATTCACAGACCGCTACCGGTCCTCTGACCGGGAGTTGGGAGAACACTGTTTTAGAGGATTGAGGAAATGACAATAAAATACAAACAGAAAATAGTGTTTTTGAATACCCTATGTCGAAAAATGTAGCAATAAATTTGTAACTTGAAATAATTTTGGTTATTATATGTAACAATTACACAAAATTTGATAAACTTATCTTAAACATTTATAGAAATATAGACATTTTTATGTAAAGCAAAATTTTTTGTCTCGTGTTTTTTTTTTTTTTTTTTTTTTTTTTTTATTTTTTTTTTTGCTATAACTTTAAAAATGTGTATTCAATAAAATTGAGCAAAAATTTGCATCAATTAAAAATTAATCAAAGAATTAATGCTTTCAAGTTTGAAAAAAAATCTGTTTGAAACTGTGCAAGATTTGAAACCGTGCATGTGCTTGTTTTTTCTTAATTTTTAATGAATCGTGTTTGGCAACTAAGGAAAATAAATCAGATTTGAATATTTTAAAAAGTTTCGAACAAATTTTGTAAGTAGTTTTTGNTCAATAAAATTAAACAAAAATTTGCATCAAATAAAAATTAATCACAGAATTAATGCTTTCAAGTTTGAAAAAAAATCTGTTTGAAACTATGCAAGATTTGAAACCGTGCATGTGCTTGTTTTTTCTTAATTTTTAATGAATCGTGTTTGGCAACTAAGGAAAAATAAATCAGATTTGAATATTTTAAAAAGTTTCGAGCAAATTTTGTAAGTAGTTTTTGTACTTTTTAAAAAAAAGCTCAAAATGATATTGTTTTTCTATCAATTTGAGCTTTGATACTCCCACAAATTTTGTTTTTACTATTAAAAAAGATTTATTAAAAATGGCGCTGGCATTGTTGGTTATCATTCCCCATATAAGTGTCTTTTTTCCTTATACAATCTTAATAATCCTTGAAACTTTTTATTTTTTTAAGATATTCAAATCGGACTTTTTTCATTAATTGCCAAATACGATTCACTACGAAATTATGAAAGAAAATTTTTTTATTTTTTTCTCACTTGCACTATAAAAGAACTACATGTATTGTACAGTTTTCAATTTTTAAAAAAAAATTTTTAATTTATTGAATATTTTTAAAGTTATTGAAAAAAAAACGTAAGACAAAAAAGTTAGTATTTCAAAAAAATTTCCATTTCTCCTTAAATATTTCAGCTAGGTTTACGAAATTTTGTCCAATCATTGCATATAATAACCGAAATAATTGTTACAAGTTTAATCATGATCACAATGCTCTAAGCCAGGGGTTTCCAACTGGCGGCCCGGGGGCCGCATCCGGTCCTCGAAGCCTTTTTTTGTGGCCCGCTAACTAAACTATATTAGTTGTCATTTTTTTGCGGATAATTTTCGTAAAGAATCAATATGGTTTTAAAATACTTTTCTCGTTAATAAAAACTTAATTTCTTCGTATCTGTGAAATTTAGCATACCAACGGTGCAAAAAAATTTATTTCTCAGATTTTGCATCCAAGAAAATATATATTCAAATACAAAAATAATCGTGTATGTTGCTCTTTTTTATTTCATTTTTCTTTTGTATTTTGTGAATATAATTTAGCATGTGCGTATCAGAAATTTTCTCGAAGAAATTATCCGATTTAACTTTTTGAAACCACTCACTCATTTTGGACGAAAATATTTACACACACATTTGCAAATTTTAAATGTAAATATCTATTCTCTGGTGGTTGTAGCAGACAAATCTCAATTTTCTCATTGAATATTTTGTGTGCTACTTACTATGTAAGTTTTAACACCAACCTTTTTAAAGTTTTATATCTTTACAATTAGATATCTGCTGTACATTATTTGTTAGGTGCACATTAAAGTTATTGTAGCCCGAATTTTTATTATTTATTTAATATTTTTAAAAATATTATTAATAACAAATAATAAATTTTTTTTAAAAAATCTACTTCTTATTTTAATTTGTAATTCAATACTTTTGTTTTGTACAACTTATTTAATGTTCTTTCAAACATAAAAAAGTCCTTCATAAAATTTTGATAAAGTTGTGGCCCGCCTTTTGATTTGTGTTTTTTATTGTGGCCCTCTGCCTCATGTAAGTTGGAAACCCCTGCTCTAAGCCATCTGGGGAGAAGACTGGTGCCATGTTTTGACCCTCTCCTCCTCCTCTTAGTTGAATAGGAATGTACTACGATATTTACCCTTTTCTTAATACATGACCTATTTACTTGTCAAAAGTATTTTTTTAAATTTCAATGACTTTTCTTTTATAGATCTGTGTTTAATGTAGTTTGTATTGGGAGTACAAATTAGTTCGGTCCGTCTTTTTGTGATCAAAAATGCTTTTATTTCTGAACAAAATTAATGAACAGATTATTAAGTATTGTCCATCACTGGCTTCTACTTTTTCCCCCATCTCAGGCAATTTTCGAATTTCATCTAAAAAAATGTCTCGTCTTTTGAGGCGATCCAAGTTAGAAGCCAATTTTCCATTTCTACGAAAGAAGTGAACCGGTGACCTGCCAAATCGTGCTGCATCCGTCGGAGCAACCCCGTAATCAGAAGGAGCAATGTCCGACGGATACGGCGGGTGCAGTAAAATATCCCACTTGAGCGTTTCCAAATAATTTTGATATATGTGAAAAACTTATAGTAAGAATAACTTATTCATGTCTTTATTCGTATTCCGGCCGTTTTTCACTTAATGCATGGCTCAAACAAATCAATTGTAGCCTATACCGATCATCTGTAATGAAATTGCCAGGTTGTAGCAGCTCACAGTATACGACAACATTCACCATTTTTGAAACGTCGCAATCATTCCCTACATGATTTATCAGTTGGAGCATTGTCACCATACAGCATGTTCGAAATTCATGACCTCATAAGCGACATGAGAATGAAGACCCAATACAATCCTTAAGTTCATCCCCAAGCGGAACTCACTTTATAGATTTTTATTTTAAAACTTTTCATTTTATTTTGAAAGGCAAAACAGCTTTTTTTAGAGCAATAGCCTCCCCCCCCTTTTTTTTTTACATAGAATGAAAGCATATTCTGCAGAAAGATTCAATTATTCCTTAATAGGGTGCGTCACAAAAAATATTTCTAAATTTAAAAAAAAAATAGGCACTTATTTACAAAAAAAAGTTCTTTTTTTAGTCAACTTGAAAAATATTTAAGCTCTGAATGAGCCTAAAGTTTTTTTTTTTTCGGGGGGGGAGCTGTCATAAACATAAATTTCAATTTTTGTTATTGTGAATGACCGAAATTGGTGATTGTTGGCTTCCACCGGTGAATGTTGTCAATCGCGTAGTCGCTTTGGTAAAAGTCAGAAATTTATATTACGTTTAGTTAAGTGCCACTGCCCGGTATGCTCTACATCAGGGGCGGCGAACCTTTATACACCAACGTGCCATTTTTTCTAAAAAATTGCTTAATGAGGTCATAGACGTGCCATCAAATAAATTTGACTATTGGGAAAATAATAATACTAAATACTATCAATTCAAAACTCTTTATTTACATTGAAAAAAAAACATTTTGCAATGCCTCAGTTATACACGTAATTCAACTTAAAGTAACATCAGAGTGACTTCTGTTGTTGCAGATTAGATGACAAATAACTTNCTTTTTTTTTTACATAGAATGAAAGCATATTCTGCAGAAAGATTCAATTATTCCTTAATAGGGTGCGTCACAAAAAATATTTCTAAATTTAAAAAAAAAATAGGCACTTATTTACGAAAAAAAGTTCTTCTTTTAGTCAACTTGAAAAATATTTAAGCTCTGAATGAGCCTAAAGTTTTTTTTTTTCGGGGGGGGGGGAGCTGTCATTAACATAAATTTCAATTTTTGTTATTGTGAATGACCGAAATTAGTGATTGTTGACTTCCACCGGTGAATGTTGACAATCACATAGTCGCTTTGGTTAAGGTCCGAAATTTATACTAGGTTTAGTTAAGTGCCACTGCCCGGTATGCCCTACATCAATGTTTTTTTTGAGGTCAAATGGCACTGCCTAGTATGCATTTAACCTGTACTCCGAACACTGATGTTTCTCCTAATCTATCTTCAGCAGATATTGAAATATCGAATTAATTGTAATATTATCAAATCGGATATAACAAATATTTC